TTCACCTTGTTGTAAACCAAGCCTGGCTTCAGGGTACACTCCAAGGTCGTCTGAGGGGCAGGAGGAGAGCAGGGTCAGATACCCCACCCCAGACATGCCTGTGACATCTCCTCCATCACCAGCCCCCGTGCATACCCTAGTGTCTTCTCACAAACCTCATTTCCCAGTCCTAGGTATAGCCCTGAACCCCGATCAACACTGACACAACTCCCTAGTTTTACTTCTGTTTTTTGAAACAGTCTTGCTCTGTTGCCCAGGCTGGAGTCAGTGGTGTGCTCATGCTCACTGCAGCCTCAACCTCCCAGTCTCAAACGATCTTCCCACCTCAGCCTCCCAAAGTGCTGGGATTATGGGCATGAGCCTCCATGCCCAGCTACCCCCAATTTTCCTAAACATACCTCTGATACTCCAATATTTTCCCAACCCCTTGATCCCTACCTTTTCCTAATACCTCCGATACCCCTGTAGAAACCCCAAATCTTACTGAATGCCTCAAAACATTATTAACCCCTTTCTGGCTCTGATACTTCCCAGACTACTGAACATCTCACAATATTATTGTTAATCCTCTTCTAATAATAATCTCTGTAAACTTTACCCAAAAAATGTTCTCCTTTTTTTTCTTTTTTCTTTTTTTTAAGATGAGCTCTGTCTGTGTTGCCCAGGCTAGTCTCAAACTCCTGAGCTCAAGCAATCCTCCTGCCTTAGCCTCATGAGTGGCTGAGATTATAGGCACGCTACTGTACCCACCACTTACCCCAAAATAGTCTTATTAAACTTCCACAGATTCCCCCTCAGGTGCTAGCCAACACCCTATTGACGTTCCCTCAAATCCTTGCCTAGTATCGCCATATTCCTTCACTCCATTTCAAATCCCCTCACTGACTCTTGCTCTGAAACAAAACCTTTCCCTCAAGCCTTTCACACAATCCGTATCTTTCTACTATACCCCTAGCTGAAACTTCAACACTGTCCCTCCAAATGGTGCCAGACAGCCCAGTTATTCCCAATGAACCCACATATAGAATTGTCAAATGTTTCTGACACTTTCAAATGGACCCCAACAAATGCTTCCTTCTACTAGGGCAGACAGGGTGGTTAATGTAGGGCCTCATGGTGAAGATCTCTGAGCAAGATGGAAGGTTCTGAGCAGAAGAGGGACATGGTCTGAGTCGGGTGGAGGCAGTACCCCCTGTGGAACAGACTGCAGTTGGAGTGGGGAGCAGCACAGGGAGACAGTGAGGAGGCTGCTGTGACAGTCAGCCGGAAATGGCAGTGGTCAGGACCTTCCTAACACCCCATGTATCCTGAAATTCCCAACTCTTATCCATAGGACAGATATTCACTCCCAAACTTCGTATCCCAGTTTGATTTCTACGCTGGGAGGCAGCCTGACCTCTGCTCCACACACCAGCCCCACTCCCCTCCCTTCCCAGGTCCCCACCCTGCCCGCATGCCCCAGGGTGGCTCACTTTCTGGTCCCGGAGGCGCTCCCCGTGGATGACGTAGTGCCCCTGGCGGGCCCCACCCTCGGGCCTGGCCCCTCGGACCCGACACACGCTCACCTGGCTGAGGCCCCCGCCCCCCACAGGCAGCCAGCCCCCACTGGAGTCGTCTCGGGCCATCACCACAGCTCGGACCCGCACCATGTACCTGCAGGAGGAGGAGGGGAGGAGAGGGACAACACAGTCATGAGCTTAAATCCTGCTCTCTCATGGAATGTTCCTCCAACCCTCACCTTCCCTCCAACTTCATTTCTCACGTCCAGGTCTACGGCCCCCTAAGCTAGCAATACCCACCTCAACCCCATGGCCACCCCCTTCCACCCTGGCTCCTTTCTTCCTCATGCCATCGCTTCTCTCCCACTCTATCTTCTTCTCCATGTCTGCCCTTTCTCTGTCCCCACCTTTCCCCCATCTCTCCGCCTCCACCCCCATAGCCTTGGTGTTGCACTCCCCTGCCCCTCCTACTCATCCCTATCACCCCCTTCTCCCTCAGCACATACCCACAGCCCCACCCAGCGCTTCCCCCTCACAGCTGGGTGCCTGCGCATATATATTTTCTCTGGGCCCATCAACTCAGCTCCCTTTCTCCTAGCCCTGCCTCCGCACCCTGTTGTCCAGGCCACAGGCTGGGTGAGAAACCCAGGCTCTTTCCACCCCCCATCCCTTCCCGGATTTATGAATGAGACCGGATGCAAAGCTCACTGAGTCACCCAGCAACGGGAGATGGGCAGGGAACAGGGAGAGAACCAGAAATGGCCAGAAAGAGAGACCGAGAGGGAGATGGAGGCAGAGGAAGTCAGAAACGGACGACCGAAGACACATCCAAAGCATTTCATTCACAAAAATCAAGGCTGCTCCCTCAGGCCCCAGCTGAGGGAAACCAAGGGGGAAAGATGGGGTTGGGGGGGAGATTGATCCTTCCTCCCACTTCCCTTCCCGCCCCCCCCACCCCAGCATCCTTCAGAACCATTTTACCCCGCCCCCCAGCTCAGGGGACGTAGCCCTCCGCCCAGTAATCGGGATCAGCGTCCAGCCCCTCACTGCCACCCAGCACAGGGACCTTGGCGTCCCAACCTTAGGGACCCGGGTGAGCTCTAGCCCCCTCCCCCACCTGCAGGCTGCTGGGTTTCCCTGGCCCTTCGGGAGGGGAAGGGGCGGCCGCAGCGCCCCCGGCCCCCTTTTCTCAATGGGATGGGATTTTTGTGAATGAGCAGTCACGTGACGCTGCTTCCTTTGTCCGCCCGCCTCCCCCGACAACAGGTGAAGCAGGGAATGAGGGCGGGGGTCCCCCCAGGGCCTAGCTGGAATAAGGCACTGGAATTTCAGGGTGTCCTACCCTCCCCACACATCCTGTGTTGCCCGGGGGGAGTGGTCCTTAGCGTTCCTCATGGTGAGGGTCCAGGACGGAATTTTGTGAATGGGGCATCCTTGGAGAAAGTCCAGACCCCCCAAATGAAGACCGGTATCCTGAATGGCTGTCGCACAGTTTGGGGGGATTCCCACTCCCTAGTCCTCCCAGCCAGGGCCTGAGGGGCGCCTGGGTGGGCAGAAGGCGCAGCGCGGTCCTGGCCGCCCCCTCATCGGGCCAGGCAGTCTGTCAGCCCCCGCCGCCTCGCCCCCCTCGGCACCTGCCTGCGAGGCTCCGGCCGGGCTCCGAGCGGCGGCGATGCGGCCTCCTCCTCCTCCTCCTTTTCGTTCCGGCTCCCTCGCTGGCTCCGGCGGCGCTGGAGACGGGCACCGGGAGCCGGGGCGAGGGGGGAGGGAGGGGGAACCTGGAAGACGGGTGGGGGGGGAAGGGGCGGCTTGGGGGAGGGGTAAGAGCGAGGCGGGCTTACTTGCCCGCTGGGTCCTAGAGCCCGGCACTAGCTCCAGAGAGCAGCCCCCCAGCCCCCATTTTCTTAAGATCCAGAGGGAATCCCCCACTTCTCCATCCATCTGCGCCATTGGTCCCTAATGCTATGAGGAGGGGACAGGGGCAGGGACAGGGACTGGTCTCAAGGTTCTAAGGCGGTGGTCTACGCTGTGACTTCCAAATAGGAGGGGCTGAGTGCCAGGCAGGGTTCGATAAGGGGTGGGGCGAGAGGGGAGCCTTCACAATGGGGTGGGGTTGGAGGGCCTGGGTATAAAGAGGTTTGGATGCTGAAGGCCAGGGCTAGTGCGTGCGTCACGGAAAGGGCGGGCCCACGGTGGATGGGCCTTCGGGGCACGCCGGGGGAAGGAAAAGGTCTTGGGAGGCGAAGTAGCTGGGTCTTAAAAAGGCGGAGCCTAGAGGTAAATTGCCTTAGGGACGAGGCAGAGGAGAGGTCCAAAGGGGAGGAGCGACGCGTCGGTGCTTGCGTGGGCGGGGCCTTGGGAGGGAATAAGGGGCGGGGCATTCTAAAGAGGAGGGGCCAAGGAGAAAGACCTAAAGGGGTGGAGTTTAGAACTAGAAGGCCTTGGGGGCGAGGAAGAAGACCTCCGAGTATTTTTTTTTTTTTTTTTGAGACGGAGTTTCGCTGTTGTTACCCAGACTGGAGTGCAATGGCACGATCTCGGCTCACCGCAACCTCCGCCTTCTGGGTTCAAGCGATTCTCCTGCCTCAGCCTCCCGAGTAGCTGGGACTACAGGCGCGCACCACCATGCCCAGCTAATTTTTGTATTTTTAGTAGAGACGGGGTTTCACCTTGTTGACCAGGATGGTCTCGATCTTTTGACCTCGTGATCCGCCCACCTCGGCCTCCCAAAGTGCTGGGATTATAGGCGTGAGCCACCGCGCCCGGCCGACCTCCGAGTATTTCAAGGGAAGACTCCGGTTCGCAAGGGGCCAGGCTCCCGTGGGCTGGCAGGAGGGCGGGGCCTCGAGCTCCCGGGGCGGAGCCTAGATCTCGGGGTCCGTCCTCGCTGTCGCGCCCACTTGCCTTCACCCGCACCCCCGTTCTTTTCGGTTATTTTCTGCTACGGCTGTTCCCTGCCCTGCCCCAGGCCCAGGAGGCCGCCGTCTGAACTCCGGTCGGCTGGAGGACTCGGTGAGTGGCCTCCTCTGGGCGGAGGCGGGGCCATGACGGAGCTTGGGGACAGGGGTGGAGCTTGAGTGTGGATGCTTGCTAGTAGATAGACCTGGAGCGGGAAGAGATTTGGGAGTGAGACCTGAGAGTCTGCCGCTGCCTAGGAAGAGGGTGGGACCCAGATGATCCATAGAGAGGCGGGGAGTCGGAGAGTTAGAGGAGATGACTGAGGGATCAGCGTGACTAGCCAAGGGGACAGGCATGAAACCTTAGTACGTAAAGGGGCTGAGACTGAAGTATCTGCAGCAGTGTTGGGAACATGAGAAAGAAGGAGTGAGTGTCGAGGGTCGGGGAACAGGAGTGCGACCTAAGAACTTGGGCCTGAGAGGATCTTGGGCGGGGCCGGTGCAGATACATTGGACCAAGTACAGTCAGCCTCGTAGGGTCCCCACGGCCCTGGCAGGCTGACTGGCCTAAGTTTTTCCGACCAGTCTCCGAGCTCCATCAGAAATGGGGAACATGCAGTCGGAGCCGTCCGCGGGCGGGGGCTCCCGAAAAGAGCAGGCCTCGGACCGCACCCCCGACTCCCGCCGGACGTCCCTGGTGGAGCCCGAGGTGACCTCCCAAGCCATGCGCCTGACTCGCGGGCTGGGCGTCTGGTTTCCTGGCAGCTCCACAACCCGGCGCCTCCTGGTACCCAGGGAGTCCCAGGCCTCACCCTCGACCCTGCCCCTCACCTTAGAACGGCCCTCTCCAGTGATGCCCCCTCCTGAAGAGGCGGCCGCGGTCTCAGCACCATCCCTGGCCCCCGCGGGGACCTTGCTGCCCGGCCCGTCTAAGTGGCAAAGGCCCGCGGGCACTCCAGCGCCCCGGAGCCGCCGCCTGCTGGAGGCAAGCCATCGCGGCCAGGGCGACCCTCCGAGCCTCCGCTCGCTGCCGCCGAAGTCGCCACCGCCACCGCCACCACCTCGGCAACTATCCATGAAGGACACTGTCCCGAGGGCTCCATCCCAATCTCCACCTTCCCTGGAGCCGTGGAAACCGCCACCACCATTACTTTCCGAATGGCAGCCCGCAGACCGTAGAATCACTCCTGCTCTGTCCACACCCACCTCGACCCCCACAGAAAGCCAGGCTGGGCCCGGCAGCCAGGGCCAGACGGCCGGTAGGGCTCGCGGAGGGACGCCTCCCCAAGCGGGCGAAGGTGAAATGGTCCGGCCTGCGGCTTCCGAGTCCAGCGTGAGCCTGCTGTGCAAAGTCACCTTCAAGTCCGGGCCCTCTTTAGCCCCTCCGGCAGCCTCGAGTTCCTTAGCAGCCAAAGCTTCGCTCCGGGGCGGCGGAGGCGGCGGCTTCTTTGCTGCCTCAGGTGCCATCTCTTACGCTGAGGTCCTGAGGCAAGCGCCCCTGCCTCCTGGAGCCGCTCGCCCCTTGGGAGAGGTTCCGCGAGGGGCACAGGAAGCCGAGGGAGGCGATGGAGACGGCGAAGGGTGCTCTGGCCCTCCCTCGGCGCCTGCGTCCCAAGCCCGGGCCCCACCGCCGCCACCCTACACCACCTTCCCAGGCTCGAAGCCCAAATTCGACTGGGTGAGCGCTCCCGACGGCCCTGAAAGCCACTTCCGCTTCAACGGGGCTGGCGGAGGCGTCGGGGCGCCACGACGGCGCGCAGCCTCAGCAGCCGCACTCTCTGGGCCCTGGGCCTCCTCTCCGCCACCACCAGGGCAGATGCACTCAGCTCCCGAGCCCCGGAGGCCGGCACCTGCCCTGCTGGCGCCGCCTATGTTCATCTTTCCGGCACCCACCAAAGTCAAGCCCGTGCGCCCAGGGCCTCCAGGCCTGCAGGAGTTACCACCAATGCCGCCGCCCACGCCGCCGCCCGCGCTGCCGCCCACACCGCCGGCCGCATCGCCGCCGCCCACACCGCAGCCACCTGCGCTCCAGCCAACGCCGTTGCCGGTGGCTCCCTCACCCACCCCAGGTCCGGGCCACGCAGAGTCAGCCCTGGCTCCCACCCCAGGCCGGGGCCACGCAGAATCAGCCCTGGCTCCCACCCTGGCCCCTGCTCTGCCCCCAGCCTTAGCCGCCGACCAGACTCCGGCCCTGGACCCAGCCCCATCACTGGCTCCAGCTCCCACCATGGCTGAGCCCTCGCTGCCCACGCCCGCGGATGCGCCCAAGTCCCGCACGCGCAGGAACAAGGGTTCCCGTGCAGCCCGGGGCACGACCCGTGAGGATGGCTTGCCTGGAGATGGTCCTCGCGAACGAGCTACAGCTACTGTGCCTGACAGCGGCGGTGGAGGGGGTGGTGGCAGCGGGGCCTCTCAGGCTGGATCAGCTAACACCAGCGCTGCGCGCCACTGGCCGCCCTTCCAGGTGCTTAACTCCTGTCCCTGCAAGTGTTACTGCCGCCACCAGCCACGCCATCGCCGCCTGCCACGCAACGTCTCTGCCTGGTGAGAAGAGGGGAGAGGGGGCCAGAGGGGATACCCCTCGAAGTGCCGAACCCCAGACCCCTGGATAGAGTCCTACTCAGCCCTTTGGCTTCCTGACCCTAGAATGACCCACGGCCTTCCTCTCCACCACATTTCAAACCTAGTTGAGCTCCCACCCTGCAGGACCAAGAGGACCCTTGATCCCATGCTGACTTTTGACGGGAAAGGGGGCACCCTGGGCCAGCCCTATGGCGTCCGATTTCCAAGTGGACCCTTGGCCCTCCTGTACCTTTTGAGCCATCAGAGAGGGAGGAGGCTGGTCCCAGCTGGCCTAACACTATACACTGCCTTGACCCTATCCCTGAGGGTGCCAAGGAGGACCGTGTCCCAAGCCATTCATGGATAGGGGTGAGGAGATGACTTTCTGGGACCAAAAGAGGGTAGACACAGCCCTCAATTTTACTATGCACAGGGGCAGCCCTGATCTCCTGACCCCTCTAGCCTCTGGCAACTTCTCCTGACTGTGGGACTCAGGCTTTAGCCACCAGAGGGCACTAATGTCCCTCACAGCGCTTGTGCTGGGGAGGCTCCTGAGTGCCACATCCAGGGGGGACACTGCAACCTCTAGCCACCCCCCTACCCACACTGAATCACCAGATCTGGTCACTGGTGTCTGATCCTGGCTCCTGGGGACGCTGAATCACTAAGACCACTCTGGACCTCTTGAGGCTTAGCTGGGACACTCACCAGCCCTAATCTCCCTTTCCTATGAAGTGGACACAGCCCTTCCCTAAACTGCCTTTGGGATATTCCAATATGGCTTTCAGAAGCTTCCATATTCATATGGGGACAGGGAGGCCCTAGAAGGGGTAGGGACCTGGTCACATTGTGGGGCTTTGCTCTCTACCGTCCTGCCTAGGCTGAGCACACCCACCAACCACCTGAGCAAGCCGCCCTGGGTTGCCACCATCAAGCTGGCCGGCTCCTTGGTGGCTGAGCTGCAGCACTACGACCTGCAGACCACCCATTCCAACTGAGTGTAGTCGGGCCAATGACTTCCACCTTCCTCTCCATGCCAATAAAATAACCAATCCAGATGCCAGCAGCTTGTCAATCACTCGCCAAGGGCTGGAGGGGTAGGATGCAGCAGGGTCGCCATTAAAGCACATCTTGGAAACCATCAGGAGGCCAGACCAGAGCAGCAGCAACTGAGGTTCCATTCATCCAGCACCCAGACTGATGGGCCCAGGGCAGGATCTCATTCCCCTTCATCCAGAAGCCCCAATTCTGAGCTGACCTGGTACCAAGCTCGGAGGCTCAGCACAAACCACTTGGCAAAGGAGTGATCATTCCCATTTTACAGTTGGGAAAACTGACTCTGGAAGACTTGACATTTCCACATCCCACAAGGGATTCAGCCAGATTTGGACCCCACGCCTGGAACACTTTTCCAAGAATTTCAAGGCAGGAAACCTAGGCTGGTGGGTGTTCAAGGAGGTCCTCAATCACTGCGCTGGCTCAGGGAGAGTGGGACCCATGACAAACCCACACCTTTTGTTCCACAAAGGGCTCAAACTGGCAGCCCACAGATGGGTTCCATTTCACATGTCATTTGAAAAATTGTTTAATCCATTGCCAACATTTTTTTCTTTTTAATGGGACACTTCACCCCTTTTGTTGAAAAACTCCGGTACCCTGGCCCAGCATTCCTGTGTCCACAGCTGGCTAGAACAATCCCCCTACCTGGGGCCATGCCCTCCTGCATGCCACAATGCTGCTGGGCCCCACAGTGGGCATCTGTGTTTGAGACCCTGAGCAATGGCCACCAGAGGCTGCCCAGTTGGAGGGTGTTATCTCTAACCTCTGAGCGCCCCAAAACTTCCAAGTTCTTCAGAGATAAGAACTGTCTCTCCGCCATCCCAACTGGGGAGACAAGGGCCTGGAAGAATGTCAATCCACCTTTATTGGAGGAAACGCTGTACTGTAACTGTTTAAATAACTCGTGCCCTGCCCCACCCAGTGCCCGGTGGGCTCAAACGATCATCTCCAGCTGCCGGGCATACTCGATGACCTGTTTGGCCAGTTCCGTGGAGGGAATGGTGGTGTCTTCTGGCTTCTGCTGCTGGCTGGCAAAACTGTAGTAGTTGTTGGGGCCCAGGACCCACCCTCGCTGCAAGAAGGGAAGGAATACAGGTGGGTAGGGTGATCACAAAGGCACCATCTCCACCCCGGGGAGCCAGCACCTGCCCATGTGTGCCATGCTCTCTTCTCACCAAACCTACTCTACCCCAACGACTCTTTGCAAGTAACTTCCCCTCTCTGTGCCTCAGTTTCTCTGTGTTGAGATTGGGACCGTAATTACATACCTCTCTGGGTCGACTGTGAGGATTCAGTGAATCAGCACCTTTAAAGTGCTGAGAACAGGTTTGGCCAGAGTGATCTCTCAGTCTCAGCTGTCACCATCACTCAAATGCAATTTCACCTTTTTGTTTTTTCCCCAGTTTCACTCTTGTTGCCCAGGCTGGAGTGCAATGGCGTCATCTCAGCTCACTGCAACCTCTGCCTCCTGGGTTCAAGCGATTCTTCTGCCTCAGCCTCCCAAGTAGCTGGGATTATAGGCACCCACCACCATGTCCGGCTAATTTTGTGTATTTTTTAGTAGGGTCGGGGTTTCTCCATGTTGGCCAGGCTGGTCTTGAACTCCTGACTTCAGATGATCCTCCCACCTGGCCTCCCAAAGTGAGCTGAGGTGAGAGGATCCACCTTAGTGGATGTGTGCCACCGTGCCCAGCCCAATTTTACCTTCCACAGCCTGGTCCTGGTCCTCCTCCTGCAGCACCAAGCATTGTTCATGCTAAAATGCCTGAGACTAAATGAAGCAAAGTGTTGCAGAAAAAGCTGCCGCCGCTAAGAAATTCTTATAAAGACAGCGCCTGCCTCCAGCTGGTGTCAGGTGCTAAGCTCATCCCATGTATTAAGCTCCAGCCTCATTCTGTGGATAGAGAAACTGATGCTCAGAGAGCTTTGGTGGCTTGCCTAGAGTCACACAGTTGAACTTAAACTTGGGCAGTCTTATTCCAGTGTCCCTCTAGGCTACCCCACAGTTGTGACTGCACCCCTTGGTCCCACGGCCCTTGCCCTGCACCCCAGCCACCTTCTTGGCATAGTCTGTCATCTTTTTGGGTGTGTTGAAGAAGAGGATCCGCGTGGCCTCAGTGAAAAGGATTTTCTCATAGGCCTTCTCGATGCACCCAGCAATCTCATCCCTGGGGGAAGACGAGAAACTCCTCATTACTGAGCATCAACAACCTCCTAGGCCCTGTCCCCCCCACCGAGACCTGCTCCATGTCAGCTCTGACCCTGGAGTTCAGCACTGATGGCAGAAATATGTGAGGGGCCTGTTCCATTCATCAAGGCTCAGAGGGGGAGAAACTTGACCAGACTCGCAAAGCAAGCAAGAGCCACAGGGGATCCCCACCAACATCTCTGACTCCTGGGCCCATGCTCTGAATCCCACTCCCAGCCACAGGATTTCAGGTCTGAAACCCAGCTTGGGAGTCACATGAGGGCATCTCTCCACATAACACCCTTCACCAGGGTGCTGCACCCCGCTTCATAGATCCTGAGGGGGTTCCTTGTACCCATCAAGAGGCATCATGAACAACACTGAAGTAAAAAAAAGAGCGAGGCATGAAGTCACTGTAGTGGGGGAGGGGCTTAGCTCTGGGGAAAAGCCAGTGACTGGGAGGAGTGCCTCCCACATCTCTTAGGCCAGGTGGTGGGTAGTGGGTACTGGCTACCACTCCTCACTTGAGTGTCTCTGGGCTTGCCTTTGCCACATAAAGAATGGTGCTCTGCCCGAGTGAACCAGCTCGGCCACCACTCCGATACCCTTTTACTCCTCAAGGGATTTGTGTATCACATCTGCCTGCCCATGTGATGTCGCTTGTGCACACAGCAACCCAAGGGGCTGCTGGGATTTGGTGACCCCATTCTAGAGAAGGGAAAACTGAGGGTTCCACAGTTTTGGTGACCTGAGGTGAAGTCTCATGACTCACTGGATGGGCATCTGGGATGGAAGACGGGCTAAGACAGGCAGCACAGTCCATGCCTGCTGAATCAAGCCCATGCTTGGGCTGGACACAGGTAACCACGCATCTCAGCAGCCAAGGGTGGTGAGTGAGATGAGGGCTATTATCCACAATCCCACGCCCAGGCCCAATTCACTGAAAAGAAGTACTGAGGTGCTAGGAGCATGAGAAACACGCCTAGCCTACCCAGACAACCATGGCTGGAATGAGATTCAGACTCAGAGCTGTCTGACTCAAGCCCAAGTTCCTTCCAAACCCCACGGGCCCAGGCCTACCACGCACCTGATAGTGTCCAGCAGGATGTCGATGAAGAAGGTATAGCTCTCGGCGGGGATGTTTCCCTTAGCCAGGAACACCTTGTTGTAGCTGCCCTCCATCAGGTACTGGAGAGGCCGGGAAGGGGGAGACGAGAGTCAAGAGGAGGCTGCACGGGGCCTCCCTGTGTGGGCCTCATCAACTCCCAGTGCCCCTGTGAGCCCCAAGCTGCCAGACACCCTTTGCCACACAGCCACTCCCCTTCCCTGGATACCCCCCATTCCAGAAAGCCCTTGCTGGTTTATACACACACACACTCACATACTCTCTCTCTCCCTTCCTCCTTCCTTCTTTCCCTCACTTCCCCCAAGCCTGCTCTGGGGTGGCATCTCATTATCTCATCTACTTCCAATTATCCATCTATTCTCCAGGACAGATACAGGGCTGGCTCCACTCCAGGCTCATCCCTGTACACCTGTGCCCGAATTGTGCTGCCCGCCCTAACTGCCCTCTCTCCCACCCTCTCCCCACTGACCAAATCTTCCAATGAGATGTCAACTCCAGGAACAACTTCCTAACCTTAGGTCTAAGGCTTTGCCGTGGCCCTGCTCACTTTGTTCTAAAAACACTGTCTTCTCAGCTGTCCCTAGACAGACATGGTGCTGCCTTAGGACACCTGGACTGGCTGGTCCCTCTGCCTGGCTGTCCACAGGGTTCAGTTCCTCACCCTTTTTTTTAAATTGCATTTTATTGCATGTTTTGAGGTACATGTGAAGAACTTGCAAGATAGTTGCATAGGTACACACGTGGCAGTGTGATTTGCTGCCTTCCTCCCCTTCACTTATATCTGGCATTTCTCCCCATGCTATCTCTCCCCAATTCCCCACCCCCCGCTGTCCCTCCCCTATTTCCCCCCAACAGACCCCAGTGTGTGGTGCTCCCCTCCCTGTGTCCATGTGTTCTCATTGTTCAACACCTGCCTATGAGTGAGAACATGTGGTCACACTTTTCTCTTTTTAAAAAACATTTGTTTTTACTTATTTTTTAAATACAGATAGAATCTCACTGTCACCCAGGCTGGAATACAGTAGTGCGATCACTGCTCACTGCAGCCTTGAACTCCTGGGCTCAACCAGTCCTCCTGCCTCAGCCTCCCAAAGTGCTAGGATTACAGGCATAAGCCAGTTCCTCACCCTTTTCAAGTCTTTCTCCAATTTCACCTTTTCAGCGAGGCCTTCTGACTCCATGAGTAACTGTCACCCCTGCCCCTACCTCTCCACCGTCCTTCCTTTTCCCCACAGCACTCAGCATCTGACAGACCGCACAGACCACTCACTCTCTGGGCTTACTATCTGCTTCTGCCCTCAGTGTCACCACCACAAGATCATGGATTTCATCTGCTTGGCTCACTGCACAGTCTGACAACCTACCACAGCGCCAGGCACACAGCGGGACTATTTGATGGGCAAACAAGAAGATGAGTCCGTGGGTGGAAAGATGGGTGAACCCTGGCCACCCCCTCAGGAAAGCCCTCCTAAGGCCACCCGTGCACCAGCCCCTCTGGCTAGGCCCTCCCCTGCCCCTTGCTGTCTCACTTGCTCCAGGGACACAGGGTGCTTGATGTAGACATTGGTCTGGATGTCCTTGGCAGGCAGCCGCTCCAACTCCGTGTGAAACTCAGCCACCCGGTTCTGGGACAGCAGGAAGAGGAGGTTGAGGCCCAAGAGCTGGTGCATGTAGGCTGACTCGGGGAGCTGCTCCCTGTGGACCAGAGAAGGAGGATTTAGGGACCTAGCAAGCCCTCTACCCCCCGGCTTTAGGCATTCTCACCTCTGCCCCAGGCATCTCCCTGAAGAGGTATCAAGTCTTGGGTTTTCATATGAGGAAACTGTGGCCCAACGATGCCTGAATAATTCACTTATAAGTCATATTGACCCACGTGAGTGACCTCACTTCAGTGAAATGACAGCCTCAGTTTCCCAAAGCGTAAACTGCGTATCACCACAGTATCTTTTTTTTTTGAGATGGAGTTGTTGCCCAAGATTGTGAGTGGCACAATATTGGCTCACCTCCCTTTCCTGGGTTCATGTGATTCTCCTGCCTCAGCCTCCCAAGTAGCTGGGACTACAGATGTGCACCACCACGCCCAGCTGATATTTTGTATTTTTTTTAAAAGACGGGGTCTCACTATGTTGCCCAGGCTGGAGTGCAGTGGCTATTCACAGGGGCAGTCCCACTACTGATCAGCACAGGAGTTTTGACCTGCTCCATTTCCGACCTGGGCTGGTTCACCCCTCCTTAGGCAACCTAATGGTTCCCCACTCCCAGGAGGTCACCATATTGATGCCAAACTTAGTGTGGACACCTGATCGGCATAGTGCACTACAGCCCAGAACTCCTGGGCTCAAGCGATCCTCCAGCCTCAGCCTTCCGAGTAGCTGGGACTATAGGCATGCACCACTGTGCCTGGCATATTTTGTATTTTTTAGTAAAGATAGGGTTTCATTGTGCTAGCCAGGATGGTCTCAATCTCCTGACCTCATGATCCGCCTGCCTTGGCCTCCCAAAGTGCCAGTTACAGGTGTGAGCCACCGTGCCCGGCCCTTTTTAAAATTCTGAGACAGGGTCTTGCTCTGCCATACAGGCTCACTGCAGCCTCAACTTCCCATGCTCAAGCCGTCCTCCCACCTCAGACTCCCAAGTAGCTGGGACTACAGGCACACATCACTATGACCAGCTAATTTTTTTGTTGTTTTTGTGTGTGTGTGTAGTGACAGGATTTTGCCATATTGGCCAAGCAGGTCTGGAACTCTGGGGCTCAAGTGATCCTCCTGTCTCAGCCTACCAAACTGCTGGGATGACAGGCATGCACCATCATGCCCGGCTTCACAGTACCCATTTTGTAGAGACGGGTTGAATGAACAAAGGTTAAGTGAATTATATGATTCAACCCAGGCAGAGTGATTAAAACAATACCTGGCCCAAATAAACACAAAGTGTCAGCTATAATTGTATTAAGAGTCACTGGAGTCAGGTATAATGGCTCAACACCTATAATCCCAACATTCTGGGAGGCCAAGGCAGGAGGATCACTTGTAGCCAGGAGTTTGAGACCAGCCTGGACAAAAAGCAAGACCTATCTCTACAAAAAATTAAAATAAAAGAGCCAGGAGTGGTGGTGTGCACCTGTAGCCCTAGCTACTTGAGAGGCTAAAGCCAGGAGGATCACTTGAGCCCAGGAGGTCAAGACTATGGTGAGCCATGACTATACCACTGCACACCAACCTGGGCAATGGAGCAAGACCCTGTCTCCAAAAATAATAAATACATAAATAATCACCAGTCCTTACTTACTCAGGAAACTGAGAGAGGTAAAGTCATTTTCTCAAGCCCTCATAATCAGGAAGTGGCTGAAAGTTTCAAAGCCAGGTTTGTCTGATGTCAAATTCCCAATTGTTAATCTGTGCAGGTATCATTCAGTTATACAGTCAACACATAGCCAGTGAGCCCCTCCTCTGGGCCTGGCCCTGTGGTAGGCAGTGCTAGGACATAGCAGTAACCAAGACAGCTTCAGACTCTGCCTTTAGAAAGCTCACGGTCCAGTGAAAGGGCTGTGGTGGACAGGCACAGGCAGAGGGCTCAGAGCTGGAACCGCACTGGCAGCCACAGGAAAGAACTTGGTCTTGTGCCTGAGGACCGTGGAGAGCCATGGCAGGTTCTGAGCAGGGTATGGACACTGTCAAACTGTAGTGTCACACAATCCTACTTGATGCCAGGGGGGTCCGAGTCAGAGGGGCAAGGATGGGGCCAGGGCAAGTGAAAGGCGATGGCAGCCCCATTGGGCAGAGGGAAGGCAGTGTGGGATGGGTAGGAGGAGGCTGACTAGATCCTATGAGACTGGATCACACAAGCAAAGTCTCAGGATCTCCAAGCCAACCCCCAACCCTGCAGCCACTAAGGACAAAACTAAGCCGGGAGGAGTTCTCAGGTGAAGCAAGAGGACCCAAGTGGCTGGAGCTCCAGAGATAATGGAGCCTCCAGGCAACCACCCCCCAATCGGGGGCAGGGCCCATCCTCACTTGTAATCAAAGTAGTAGCATTTGAGCTGGGCCATGTAGCGCTCAAAGGAGGGGATGTCCTTGCGGAGGATGCTCCACTGGGCCCCGATCTCCAGTATGTCCCCTGTGGGTGACAGAGTGAGCTCTCAGCAGGTGACTGAGGTCCCTTCCCCAGCCACCGCCGCTACCATTCCTGCCATAACCCCCAACTCATCACCACCCACCAACCGCAGTCACACTCACGGGCCAAAATGAGCTGCTGTTTGGTCAACTTGGTCCCTGTGGTTGGCAAGAAGTTGAGCTCCAGAAGGACCAGCTGATGGGGAGGGGAGGCAGGGAAGAAAGAAAAGATGGAAATTCAAATACAGATTACTTACCTGTTCTATGCTTTGGTCTTCCCACCTGGAAAACGGAGCTAACTATCATCATGACTCATGAGGAGTCCCTCCTCATAAAGCACTCAGAACAGGGCCTGAGCACACAACACATGCCCATTTAGGATTACATCACATTACAATTATTAATAGCCCCACTGGGTAAACAAAGTGGGGGGGGACACACTCAGTGCCTGACCCAGTGGAATGACACGGCCGGGGGAACCAGCACGTTCAATTCTTGGCCGATCTTCCCCACGCTCTATTGGGGAAGGGGTAGCTGGGCTATCCCCAAAATCTATAGTTGGGAGGTGGAGGTCCAACTCTCCCCACACAGTTCAGCTCATACATCTGGTCTCAAGCACTCTGAGCCTCGTATTCTTGTTCTCTACCTTTAAGAGTCTTTCTTCTAGGCTCAGCCCTGCCTTCGCAACTAGGCTGTCCCCTCTCCCCAGAGACGTGACCCGAAGCCCCAGATCGCTCACAGCCTAACCCAGCCTGGTCTTAACCACACACCCACTACACAGCCCATCTTTTCAGCCTCATTCTTTTATCACTCCGGGCAGTCCTCATTTCCCACTTGGTCTTGCCTGGAATCCGCCATCAGGAAAAGCCCGAACCCCAATCCTGCCCCTCCGACCAGGTAAGCCTCCGAGCACCAAAAATTTAACCCCTCACTCAGTTCTGCCACCACGAGTCTTTCCATCATTCGCTCACCAGCCCCGCGTAGGTCCATTCCAGTCATCTCTCACTTAAAAAAAAACTGTAGAGACAGAGTCTCGCTTTGTTGTTCAGGCTGATCTGAACTGGCCTCGGCCTCCCAAAGGGCTGCGATTACAGGCGTGAGCCACAGCACCCGGGCCCTCTCTCGCTTCTTGACCCCCTCCGGGCCCGCACCTTGGCTGTTCCAAATCTTTCGCCCCATCGGATCCCCTAGCCCGCCTCAGTCTCGCTGGCACCGAGGTGTCTTCCGTGGCCCGGGACTTGTTTGGGTCTAGACACCTCGTAGCGCCCCCCACCCCCGCAACACTCGGTTTCCGGGGCCTGCCGACGTTACCTTGAGCCGGCCCAGCTCTTCCCCGCACTTGCTAAGATTGGGGCTTTTACGGTTCCACTCGCCCTTGAGTTGCTCGTACATGCCGGCCGCAGCTTGCAGGACAGCGCCCGAAGGCGCCGCAGCCCCAGAGCTCGAGAAGCCGACCGCACCGTTCACCGCCGCGGCCGCCATCTTGCGTGATGAGGCAAACCCACTGCCTGATTTACGGCAGCGCCTCCTACAAACGCTCGCCCGGCGGAAGTGGGGCCGAGAGGTGGAGCCCAAGGCCTGGGGCGGGGCTACAACCTGCCTCCGCCCGCCCCGGGTAGCCCGCGGTGGCTCTCGAGGTGTCGCCCTCGGAGCCCTGCCCTTAATGAACATGTCAGTTGGAGCTCCACCTCTGTCGTCACTCAATATGGTGACCGGAAGTAGGGTTTTGCCCTAAGCGAAAATGACAGCTGTCTCAATGCCATCCACTCCGCCCCCAACCTCACAGTTCCAGTAATAAATATGGCTGCCCTGGCTTCACTCTGTTCGGGACGCTACGTAACAATCGTGGAGGTTTTGCCTTCAGGGCAGCTTTTCCAAGCCAAGAGGGTGGCAATGTCGTGCCATTTGGAAAGCGGTGTTATTCTCATTTTATAGACAGGCTTTGAGAGGCTGGGTAACCTTCCAAAGGACTAACAGCCAGAATGTGTACCTGGGGCTCCCTCTCCCGTCTCTTTCTCAAGGCATCCTTCCACGTTTTTTTCCCCAAGCTTATACAAATATGAACGAACTCATCAAGTTCTATGGCTTTAAATATATGTGCCGGGTGCGGTGGTTCATGCCTGTAATCCCAGCACTTTGGGAGATTGAGGCGGGCAGATCACACGGTCGAGAGATCGAGACCATACTGGCAAACATAATGAAACCCCGTCTCTACTAAAATTACGAAAATTAGCTGGGCGTGGTGGCGCACACCTGTAGTCCCAGCTACTCGGGAGGCTGAAATAGGAGAATCGCTTGAACCCAGGAGGCAGAGGTTGCAGGGAGCTGAGATGGCACCACTGCACTTCAGACTGGGTGACAAAGTGAGACTCTGTCTCAAAAAAAAATTATTTAAAATTTTTTGTAGAGACAGGGTTTCACTATACTTCTCAGGCTGGTCTCGAACGCCTAGGCTCAAGCAATCCTCCTGCCTTGAACTTGCAAAGTGTTGGCATTACAGGTGTGAGCCACCATGCCTGGCCAGCATTTTTCTCAAACCTGACTCTCTCTCCACCGTTTAGAATGTCATCTCCATGAAGGCAGGATGGTTTCCTTCACTACTGAATTCCCAGTATCTCAGTGCTTGGCAGATATTAATAGACAGTTAATAAATATTTGTTAGCTGGGCACGGTGTCTCACGCCTGTAATCCCAGCACTTTGGGAGGCCAATTGGGTGGATCACTTGAGGACAAGAGTTAAAGTCCAGCCTGGCCAAGATGGCAAAACCCCGTCTCGACTATAAATACAAAAAGATTAGCATGGTAGTGGGTGCCTGTAATCCCAGCTACTCCTGAGGCTGAGGCAGGAGAATCGCTTGAACCCGGGAGGTAAGAGCTGAGATCATGCCACTGCACTCCAGCCTGGGCAACAGAGCAAGACTCCATCTTTTTTTTTTTTTTTTTTTTTTTTTTTATGAGACGGAGTTTCTCTCTTGTTACCCAGGCTGGAGCGCAATGGCGCGACCTCGGCTCACCGCAACCTCCGCCTCCTGGGTTCAGGCAATTCTCCTGCCTCAGCCTTCTGAGTAGCTGGGATTACAGGCACACGCCACTGTGCCCAGCTAATTTTTTTTTTTTTTGCATTTCTAGTAGAGACGGGGTTTCACCATGTTGACCAGGATGGTCCCGATCTCTTGACCTCGTGATCCACCCACCTCGGCCTCCCAAAGTTCTGGATTACAGGCTTGAGCCACTGCACCCGGCCGCAAGACTCCATCTTAAAAAAAAAAAATTAGCTGGGTGTGGTGGTGCACACCTATGGTACCAGCTACTCAGTAGGCTGAGGCCGGACAATTGCTTGAGCCCAAGAGGTGGAGGTCGCAGTGAGTCAAGATCGCACCACTGCACTCCAGCCTGGGCCATAGAGTGAGATCCTGTTTAAAACAATATATATTGTTTCAAGTATGAGGGGAAACCCAGTCCCAGTCACTCTATCTTGGCTAGAAATGCAGATGGTGGTATTTAAAACACATGTTGACTTGGCTGATACAGGATTATGATACGTTTATCTGGACCATGAGGTGACTCGATAGAATCTTGGTGGTGGAAACATCCTTAGCCAGTAGATCTTACACACGAGTGTTGCCAGCCTTGTTATTGTCAAGTTTCATCAGGATTTTGTGCTACCAACCATGCCTAGTCCATGCCAACCCCTGGTTTATTCCTCCACCCTGACACTCTGGGTGAGCACCAACTAGATACAATCTCATACCTTTCCTCATTCACTCTTTCATTTGTTCATCCATTAATGCTGACTGAATGCCTACCATGCATCAGGGTATTTTTTTACTCGTTTGTTTCCTTCTGCCTTCATACCTCTGTGGATCCTTCGGTCACTATGTATCCATCGAGATCATGGACTGTATAACTAACCTCAGATGGTGAGGGAGTTGTCCTGAGGTCAGAGACTGCACTTAGAGGAGGGCAGAGAATAAAATACTACAGGGAAATGTAGTCCCCAATGTCCGTAGGAGGCTGAACCCTGTGGAAGGTGGGGACTTCTGGATCAAACTGTACCTGAAGCTGATTAACAAAGCCTATAAATTACCATTTTCAGGTAGATGATTTGAGGGAAATATTTGCTATTTGCAGCTAAAATAAAAATTCTGACATCTCCAGGGTCCCTTCCTCAAGACATTAGATAGGTGTTGACATTCAAAATATTTAACACTGAACAATCAGAACAGATGGTCAGCTGTAGCAATGGGCCTGATTTGTGGAGGATCCTGCTGGACCACAGGGAGATCTGGAGCACCCTAGGGAGGGGCTCAGCCAACAGGCACACAGAGAAGCCACTATTTAACATGTGGTCTACAAGGTTTTTGATATTTTATTTATTGTTTTGTCTTGTTTTTTTGAGTCAGAGTCTTGGTCTGTTGCCCAGGCTGGAGTGCACTGGTGCAATCTTGGCTCATTGCAACTTCTGCCCCCCAGGTTCAAGGGATTATCCTGCCTCAGCCTCCCAATACCTGGAATTACAGGTAAATAGCACTATGCCCGGCTAAATTTTTTTTATTTTTAGTGGCTCACGCCTGTAGTCCCAGCACTTTGGGAAGCTGAGGTGGGCAGATCATGAGGTCAGGAGATTGAGACCATCCTGGTCAACACAGTGAAACCCTGTTTCTACTAAAAATACAAAAATTAGTGTGTGCCTGTAATCCTAGCTACTTGGGAGGCTAAGGCAGGAGACGTGCTTGAACCAGGGAGTCAGAGGCTGCAGTGAGCCAAGATCATGCCACTGCGCTCCAGTTTTCCAACAAGAGCAAAACTCCATCTCAAAAAAAAAAACAAAAAAACACTTCTGAACTGGAGTTCTTAAGAGAACCCACAGCTGGTCCTGAAATCAGGCTTTATTTGAGTCTGAACGAGAAGTAAACATCAAGCAAAACAGAAAAAGAGGCCTGGGCTGGGTGACAGGCACATCTTCAAGATGGGCCTTGTAGGGGAGGCGTGATGGTGGCTGGGGGCGGGGGCAGGTGAGAGGCTAAGGTCATCAACTGTCCCTCCGTGGCTTCCCTACGTTCAGCCCCATCCTCTTCTATCCTGGAGCTGACAATGGAGCCTGGCCTGGAGTGTCTCAGAGATGACATGCTGGAGATTCCGGAAATGGAGGTGTAGCTGTAGTAGGAGTCTGAGGCAATGAGGTCATTAATCTTCCACCGGAGCATCGTGCAGCCCTGCACCATGAAGGGCAACAGGAGGCAGAAGATGATGTAGAAGATCACCAGGCCCACAATCACGCTGGTCGACACCTGCAGGGAGCAAAGAATGAATAAGGAGCTGGCACATGATAGGTGCACAGTCCATCATCTGGATGGATGTACATGACAGAGGAATGGACAGATGGAGGCATGACGGCTGAAATGAATGAATAGACAGCCCGCTGCACAGGAGGCATTTAGTCAGCATGCCTGGATGAGCAAGTGAAGGAATGAATGAGGGAAGGTACAACAGGCATAGGTGTGGAGTCGGGGAGGGCCCTGGCCACCCACCAGGGCAGCTCCTGGACAGCCACTCACCATGAAAATGAAGAGGGCCCGCTTGGGACTGAGTGGCAGCCCATGGATGTGCAACAGGAAGGTGAGCTGGTAGTTGCAGTAGGTGCTCGTGTCCACTCCTCTGTGGGGGTTGGGAAGGAATCCAGGATGAGAGGAGGAGCTGGGCACTCCATGGGCAGCCCCTGACCCACATCTGGGCCACCTGCCTGACTCACCTATTGCTCACTAACACCTTGAAGAAGAATTCAGGGGAGAAGATGCCTCTGGGAATGTTGTCATAGCATGGGGAGTTCTCCAGACACAGCCACCTGCGGGCCAAAGATCAGGCGGTTGTGCTACCAACCATGACTAGTCTGCGCCAACTCCCAATTTCTTCCTCTACCCTGACACTCTGGGTGAGGACCGAATGGGTGCAGTCTCATGTCTTCCCTCATTCATTCCTTCATTCACTCAGCCAATCATCCTGACTGAACGCCTACCCTCTAACAGGCTGTCTACTTATTCGTTTCCTCCTGCCGACACGCCTCCATCTGTCAATTCATCTGTCACGTGCATCCATCCAGATTACAGTCTGTGTACCCATCATGGCCAACTCCTTATTCATTCTTGGCTCCCTTCAGTCCTTTATCCCCTAAATATAGCTTGAGCACTTACTAGCTACAAAGTCACATCTTTCATTTATTCTCTTCTTTATTCATTATTCGATAAATGCAGGCTAGGCCAGGCACAGTGGGATTCCAAGCCTGGAATCCCAGCACTTTGGGAGGCCGAGGCAGGTGGATCACTTGAGGTCAGGAGTTCAAGACCAGCCTGGCCAACATGGTGAAACCCCGTCTCTACTAAAAATACAAAAATTAGCTGGGCATGGTGGCATGCACCTGTAATCCCAGCTACTCAGGAGGCTGAGGTGGGAGAATCGCTTGAACCCAAGAGGCGGAGGTTACAGTGAGATGAGATGGCCCCACTGCACTCCAGGCTGGGTGACAGAGCAAGACTCCGCCTCAAAAAATAAAAATAAAAAAACTTTTTTTAATGCAGGTTCTGACTAGATGCCAGTTGTTCATTCATTCGCTGCCTCCGTTTGCTCATGGCTTCATTTTTTTCCCTTTCATTGAATGAATCTTAGTTATTGAGCCCCTGTATATGAATTTGTTTCTCCATTGTTTTATTCATTCCTTAGTACCCCCATTCAAATATCAATAAATGCCCGCCAGGAATTGATTTATTCATTTGTCCATTATTTCATTCAATAAATATTATGTTAACCAGCCTGGCCAACATGGTGAAACCCTGTCTCTACTAGAAAAAAAATAGGCCGAGCATGGTGGCTCACACTTGTAATCCCAGCACTTCAGGAGGCAAAGGTGGGCGGATCACAAGTTCAGGAGATCAAGACCATCCTGGCTAATGTGGTGAAATCCCATCTCTACTAAAAATACAAAAAATTAGCCAGGTGTGGTGGCAAGCACCTGTAGTCCCAGCTACTTGGGAGGCTGAGACAGGAGAATCGCTTGAACCCAGGAGGTTGGGGGAGGTTGCAGTGAGCTGAGATAGTGCCATGCACTCCAGCCTGGGCAACAGAGAGAGACTCCATCTCAAAAAAAAAAAAAGAAGAAAGAAAAAAACATAAAAATACAAAAATTAACTGAGCGTGGTGGCATGCGCCTGTAATCCCAGCACTTTGGGTGGGTAGATCACCTGTGGTCAGGAGTTTGAAACCAGTCTGACCAACATGGTGAAACCCCATCCCTGCTAAAAATACAAAAATTAGCCAGGTGTGGTGGCAGGTGCCTGTAACCTCAGCTACGCAGGAAACTGAGGCAGGAGAATTGCTTGAACCCAGGAGGTGGAGGTTGAGTGAGCCAAGACTGCACTCCCAGCCTGGTGGGCCACAGAGGGAACCTGTCACAAAAAATAAATAAATAAATACTACGTTGAGTCCTGAGGGAGAGACAGATGCCACATCAGACAGTGACTGCCCAGACCTGTCCACACTGGGATGGAGATGCACAGGTAGAGGGCTCAGGGCCGGGATGGGAGAGCCCCCGGAGGCCATGGGAGCCACAAAGGGACAACTGTCCCATCCTGAAACAGAAAAGTCCTCCTGGCTGAAAGGGCATCTATCTAAGGCCTGAAGAGAGTAGGAGGGGGCAGCATTCCAGGCTGAGACTTCCGCTTGTGCAAAGTTTGAGGAATACAAAGGCAATCCATGTGACTTGGGGATCAAGAGGCCTCCTAGAGGTAGAAAGGATGGGTGGGCCCGGGGCCTGATGGACTACCGACAGATGGGGGCCAAGAGGGCCTAGCGGCCAGCCTGCACACTCACTCGATGCCAGGGCTCTGGTGGGACATGATGTGGAAGGCTGAGTCGTTGGTGGTCCTTACGGTCTTTGTGGTCCAGATAAGGCTGTTGGTCCTGTGCAGGACCAGGTCATCTCAGCCAGGGGTCAGGGATGGGGCGCAGTATGGGGGACGTATGGCCTCGGCGGCTAGTGTGGAGCGAGGCCAGAGCTGAGTGCAGGGGGCGTGGTCTCGGGTGTGATCTTAGGTACAAGGGGCGTGGTATTAGGGTGGACTGGAGTTTGCCTGTGGGATCCTAAGAGCCCTGCTGTGGGCGGGGCCTGAGACGCGAAGGCGGGGGCTTGCAAGGTGGGCTTGGCTGGGAAGCGGGAAAGGCCTTTAGGGGAAGCAAGGCCGATTACGCGTGGGGCCCCGCAGGGATTACTTGTCCTGGGGGCTGTTGAAACGGTAGATTTCGTCACTGCTGTAGTCTCTGATGCTTTCCAGTGTAGGCCCGCCACCCACCACCAGCAGCATGTAGCTACCAGAGACAAAAGCGCACACAGACTGGTCTCCAGGTGGCCAGTCCTGCACCCCTTCCCTTCCCCTCCACCTGCCCTAGCTGCAAACTGGCCAAGCCTTTACCTGCCCTGGAAACTGCCGGATTCTCCTGTCACCAAATCTTGAATCAAGAAGAAGGGGTAGAAAACTATGGGGTTGGAGGGGGGTTGAGATCAGAAGAAATTAGCTTGGCCCGAGAAGCTGAGGACCCAGAGGGGGAAAGTGAGATGCCGCAGGACAGAGGGTGTGTGGCCCTCGGGAGAGGAGCGGGGAGGGAGCGCGCAAAGTAGTGGGGGCAGGAGGGCAGTGAACTATGCAGGGGAAGGGAATGGACACACACCATCCCGGAAGAGAAAGCAGGGCATCTCGGGGTCCACGTGCACGCAGTCGAAGTAGTGTTTGTTCTGCTGGCGGCTGTATTCCAGTGTATAGGTGATGTCGAAGGCCAGGCGCTTGCCTGGGGGGCAGCCTATGAGCACTGGCACCATCAGGTTGCCCTGGGTGGGAGGAGAAAAGCCTCACGAGGGGGTGGCCAGGGACTCCTCAGACCCCTGGTGGGGTGAGGGGCAGGGAGGATAGTCCCTCTCCCGCACACCCTCACCACTGAGGGCGATATGGTCATTAATATCATTAAATGACCCAGCACGCTGGCAGGCCGAGACAGGCAGACCACTCGAGCCCAGGAGTTTGAGACCAGCCTGGCCAGCATAGCGAAACCCTATCTCTACTAAAAATACAAAAAATTAGCTGGGTGGGGTGGCACACGCCTGTAATCCCAGCTACTTGGGAGGTAGAGGCAAGGAGAATCGCTTGAACCAGGGAGACAGAGGCCGAGATTGCCTCACAGCACTCCAGCCTGGATGATAGAGCAGAACTCTGTCTCAAATTAAAAAAAAAAAATATATATATATATATAATTAAAACAATACATATATACATATATAATTTAAAATTACATATATATATGTATATATATATATACATATATATATAATGCCTTTTTTTTTTTTTTGAGATGAAGTTTCGCTCTTGTTACCCAGGCTGGAGTGCAATGGCTCGATCTCAGCTCACTGCAACCTCCACCTCCTGGGTTCAAGCAATTCTCCTGCCTCAGCCTCCCAAGTAGCTGGGACTATAGGCGCGCACCACCATGCCCAGCTAATTTTTGTATTTTTAGTAAAGACGGGGTTTCACTTTGTTGACCAGGATGGTCTCGATCTCTTGACCTCGTGATCCACCCTCCTCGGCCTCCCAAAGTGCTGGGATTATAGGTGTGAGCCACCACGCCCGGCAACAATGCCTTTTAAAAATGCTTTTAATAACCAAACACATGTAGCTCTTACTGTGTACCAGACAATGGGTGATGTGCTAAGAGCTTTACATATTCAAATTCATTTAATTCTCATTTGCCCCACAGGGTAGAGATTATTAATACCTTCCTTTTTTCTTCCTTTTTTTTTTTTTTTTTTGAGACAGAGTCTTGCTCTGTCGCCCAGGCTGGAGTGCAGTGGTGTGATCTCAGCTCACTGCAACCTCCGCCTCCTGGGTTCAAGAAATTCTCCTGCCTCAGCCTCCTGAGTAGCTGGGACTACAAGCATGTGCCACCATACCCGGCTAACTTTTTTGTAATTTTAGTAGAGATGGGGTTTTACCATGCTGGCCAGGCTGGCCTCAGACTCTTGAACTTCTGGTCTGCCTCCCTAGGCCTCCCAAGGTGCTGGGATTACAGGTGTGAGCCACCACGCCTGGCCTAATACCTTCCATTTTAGAGATGGCAAAAATGAGTCACTGAGATGTTAAACCACTTATTGATGATCCAAAACCACACAGCTGGTAGGTGGTTGTGTTGGGATTGGAACAGACAGATTGGCTGCAGCTGCCTCTAAAATAAGACTACTGACAGCTGTATCTGCTGACTAGTCAGACTTTATAAATCCACCATCTAGTCAGACTTTATAAATCAAAAGTCAGGCCTGGATTATCCTGTGGGAGCCTGGAATATATGAGGGAAATGGAACCCAGGATGGGTGTCAGGGGTCAGGGAACCCCCATGACATGGTCTTTAGAAGGAAGAATCAACCGAGTGTGGTGGCTCATGCCTGTAATCCGAGCTGAGGTGGGAAGATCGCCTGATCCCAGGAGTTGAAGACCTGTCTGGGCAACATGGCAAAACCCATCTCTACCAAAAATACAAAAAGTAGCCAGGTGTGGTGGTGTGAGCCTCTAGTCTCCAGTATTCAGAAGGCTGAAGGAGGCTTGAGCTCCTAAGGTCAAGGTTGCAGTGCACTGTGATTTTGCCGATGCACTCCAGCCTAGGCGACAGAGACAAAAGAAAAAGAGAAAAGAAAAGAGAAAATGAAAGGAAGAAGGGAGGAAGGGAGGGAAAGAAAGAAGGAAAGGAAAAAAGGAAAAAGGAAGGGAGGAAGAGAAAGAGAGAGAGAGGAAAGAAGGAAGGGAAAGAAAGAAAAAGGAAGAAAGGAAGGAAGGGAAAGAAAGAAGGAAAGAGAGAGAAAAAGAGAAAGAAACAAAGACAGAAAGAGAAATACAGAGAAAGAGAAAGAGAAGAAAAAAAGAAGGAAGGGTCCTTGGGCCCATTTCAGGAGGTAAGACACAGGGCATCAGCCGATTGTCAAAGGGACATGGCATCTGGAGGCTGTGGCCCGTGCTTGCTGGCACCTGGGGATGCCATAGAGGTGCATCCCACACCAGGTCTGGGCATTGACTTGACAGCTGTCACTCTCTCACTCACTGGGAGGTCCCACGGGCATCCCAGGTTTAATCTGTCCAGAACTATCTGATGAATGGCACCTCCACCCCTCCAGCTGTCAGGATGAACATCTTGCACCTCTCTCTCCCGCACACCCACATCCAGTCCATCAGGATAGCCTGTTGTTTCTAGCCTGAGCCTGAAGAATAGACCTAGAGCCCACCCATTCTCTCCCCTAAACCGCCAACTCCTTTGCCCTCACGCTGTTTCCCCAACCTTGTCTCCTTCAGAGTCCCCCTGCTTCTAGTCCTCTCATTAACATCCCCCTATCCCATGCAGCCAGATAGGCCCTGGGGACACCCGAGTCCCTCCTCTGCTGGGAGCCCTCCCAAGGAGCCAGCTCACATACCGTGACCCATGAGGCACCACCTGCTCGGCCTCACCACTGCTCCGAGCTCACCCTGCCATGTTCCTCTTGCCCACCCTGGTGTGGTCACACTTCCTCCTTGTTTATTTAGTTCAGCACATGAAATCTCATGTACTCCAAGGAGTTGGGGGCTGCTATAACCCCTTTTTACTGCCCAAGGTCATTCTTTATTTTTATTTCTTTATTTTTTTGAGACAGTTTCTCTGTTGGCCAGGCTGGAGTGCAGTGGCATGATCTCAGCTCACTACCACCTCTGTCTCCTGGGCTCAAGCAATTCTCCTGCCTCAGCCTCTCAAGTAGCTGGGATTACAGGCATGTTCCACCACACCCAGCTAATTTTTTTTTTGAGACTGAGTCTCACTCTGTCACCCAAGCTGGAGTGCAGTGGCACAATCTCAGCTCACCGCAACCTCTGCCTCCAGGGTTCAAGCAATTCTCCCGCTTCAGCCTCCCAAGTAGCTAGGATTACAGGCATGCACCACCACACCCAGATAATTTTTTGTATTTTTTAGTAGGGATGGGGTTTCTCCATGTTGGCCAGGCTGGTCTTGAACTCCTGATCTCAGGTGATCCGCCCACCCCAGCCTTCCAAAATGCTGGGATTACAGGCATGAGCCACTGCGCCCAAGCTTTGATTTTTGTATTTTTAGTAGAGACAGGGTTTCACCATGTTGGCTAGGCTAGTCTTGAACTCCTGAACTCAGGTAATCTGCCCCACTCAGCCTCCATAAAGTGCTGGGATTGCAGGCGTGAGCCACCACACCTGGCCTGCCCAAGGTGATTCTAAGCTAGGAGGGAGGAACACCAGGATGTGTGTGCCAGGGAGTGGGTAGGGAAGTGGGTGAGAACAAGAACTCTGGGCAGGCCCGTCCCCTATTACTTATTAGCTCCCTGGGTTACTCTGCACCTCTCTGAGCCTCCGTGTCTGCCCCTGGGCAAAGGTGATATCACATGTGTAAGCAAGTGAAGAACCAAGAACCCAAAGAACTGAATGAGGAACATATGAGTGGACAGAGGAAGGGTGAGATGTGAAGGTAGGGCCAGGCCAGCCCTTATGCCACCTTTGTGCCAATTGCTAAAAGCGGCCCTGTTTCTCAGACCCTCTTCTCTCCCTCTGCAGAAAAGTATCAGAGGGAACGTATGAGCTTGTGTGCAACCTGCACAACTGGGAAGGTGGCCTTTTCTGAAAACGTGAATGAATGAAAGGAGTTAGGCTGGGCAAGGTGGCTCATGCCTGGAATCCCAGCACCTTGGAAGGCTGAGGCTGGCGGATCACTTAAGTTTAGGAGTTTGTGACCAGCCTAGCCAACATGGAGAAACCCTGTCTCTATCAAAAATACAAAAAATTAGCCAGGCATGGTGGCGGGCACCTATTAATCCCAGCTGCTCAAGAGGGTGAGGCAGGAGAATCACTTGAGCCCAGGAGGCGGAGGTTGCGGTGAGCCAAGACTGCACCACTGCACTCCAGCCTGGCCGACAAGAGCAAAACTCCATCTCAAAGGAAAAAAAAAAAAGAATGAAAGGAGGTACTGGGGTGGGGTGGGGTGGGGGAGAGTGAATGATGAGAAAGAATGAGAAGAAAGAAAATTATGAATACATTAGTGGGATTCTCAGGGGGATTAGCCCTATTGAGACCTGACCCCAACCTTCCCCTCCCAGGATTCAGTATCCCAAGTTTCAGTACTTGCATATGGGACTCCAGGTGTGTTTCCTGGAAGCAGAGCCCAGATGAGCCCACCACCTGTGGACAGGAGGAGGTGAAGATGGTGATCCCCACAGGCCCAGGCTTTCCCCCTGTCCTGCGCCCTCACCTCCAGGCTTGGACCTCACATTGACCATCATGGAAGTCTTCATAAGGTGATGTCCGCTAATGCCTTGGTCATAGCAAAGCTTTTTATCCTTGAGCGTAATCTGGGTTTGAAGGAGGGGAAAGGCAGAAATGAAGGACTAAGCAGGTCTCCCCAAAGACCATCCAACAGTTCAAATAACCCATAGCTGGGGTGAGGTGGGGGGCTGGTAGAATGGAAGGCCTCCATTTCCTACTCAGGAATAGGCTAACAGGGCCAGGTGCAGGGTGGCTCATGCCTCACACCTCATGACAAGGCGTGAGGATCTCTTGAGCCCAGGAATTTGAGACCAGCCTGGGCAACATAGGGACACCCCCCATCTCTACAAAAAATAAAAAGTTAAGGCTGGGTGCAGTGGCTCACGTCTGTAATCCAAGCACTTTGGGAGGCTGAGGTGGGTAGATCATTTTAAGTCAGGAGTTCAAGACCAGCCTGGCCAACATGATAAAACCCCATCTCTACTAAAAATACAAAAAAATTTAGCTGGCTGTGGTGGCGTGCACCTGTAATCCCAGCTACTAGGGAGGCTGAGGCAGGAGAATCGCTTGAACCTGGGAGGCAGAGGTTGCAATGAGCTGAGATCGTGCCATTGCACTCCAGCCTGGGTGACAGAGCCAGATTCCGTCTGAAGAGAAAAAAAAAAAAAAATAGTTAGCTGGGCACTGTGGCGCATGCCTGCAGTCCCAGCTACTCAGGAGGCTGAGGGAGGAGGATCACTTGAGCCAAGGAGGCCGAGAATGCAGTGATCATGCCACCGCACTTGAGCCTGAGCGACTGAGCAAGACCCTGTCTCAAAAAATAAAAAACTTGCTTGGATCCCAACTTCCCGCCAGGTCTCACCAAAAATAGCACCGAGTTGCGATTACTCAGGACCTCCTGCTTCACCAAGGCCTCGATGCAGCCTGGGTTGGCCAGCACCACGCCCACGTCCACCTGGGTCTGCAGTTGGAAGGCGCTGCCTGCTCTAGGCAGTAAAAGGGGTTAAGGCCTCCCTCGCAGACAGGCCCCGCCCCTTGAACGGTGTCCCCGCCCCCCAGGCTCCCAGATTCCGGGCAGCCCCCACCCCGCCCTTCGGACGCCACTCTGGCCCCGAGCACAGACCGAGTTCTGTCTCTGCACGGAACGAGTGGCCTTGCGCCGACAGGAAGATCGTGAAGCTGTACTCAGTGCCCTTGTCCAGAAAAATGCGCTCCGGCAGCTCGAACTCGGGCTCGAGGTTGTAGATCTTTTCATAACTGTCCATGTCAATGTACACGCCACCCGCGCTTCGCCAGTTGCTCGCCAGGAAGAAGAAGTAATCCTGGGGTACGGGATGCGCGGGGCAGAGTCAGCGCCGGAGGTGGGGGCACGGGGAGGGGTGTACGGGCGCCACCCCTGGCCCAGCTCCCAAACCGCTCTGTCTACCTTGTCTTGCTTGTTGTTCTGCCACCAGCGCCAGGTGGGGTCGTGCACCGGGTCCGCGTACGGCTGCAGGGATCGCCCGGCACCGTGAAGGGATGGGGGGGCGGCGAGAGCCCCCAGGCCAGTGGCAGCCCCGGACCCCCTCCTAGCCTCAGTGTCAGCCCCTAACCCGGAGCAGAAGATACACACCCCAGCCCGTCCTCAAACCCTGCTTTCAACCTGGCCGCACCCCCGACAGCCTCCCTTCGAAGCCCTGCTCAGGCCAGGCCCCGCCCGCAGACTCCCACGCAGGGTCCTCCAGCTGTCTAGTCCCACTGAGCTCCGCTCCACAGGCCTCGCCCTCTGAGCCGGCTTTGGGTCCCAGGCCTGCCCCGCCCGCCGCCTGACGCCCACCTTGTCGTATCTGGAGTGCAGCCAGAGCAGGTAGTAGACCAGGCCCTGGTAGATGGCGAGTGAGTTCTTGGTGTGGAAGCCCGAGCGCTCCAAGATGCTCGGCGGCCGCGCCCGGTAGCGCTCCTGGCGCGTGTATCTCTGCGGTCTGGGCAGGTTCCGCAGGCGCATCACCGAGAAGGGGCAGAAGTTGGTGAAGGAGAGCATCGAGTAGTTCCTGGGCAGCGGCAAGGGGCGAAGGTGACTGGCTCTAAGGCACCCCACCCACGAGAAGCTTCCGCAGGCCTCTTTCCCATCTCTCCCACTTCCCGAATCGAATCCAGCCCCTATCTTCCTCCTCAGCGTCAGCTGGGGGCAGAGGCCTCTTGTTCCTCCTTCCACCCCAGCGCCGGGTCCCTGCCCCGACCCCAGCTGCCTCCCTGAGTCGCTCTGATCCACCCTCTGCAGGACGGCTACCGGAGGCATCATTATGGCATGTGGTAAAATCCGACCCTGCAATCCTTTCCCTTAATTGCCATCCATAGCTCCCCCAGGACCCTCAAGACGAAGTTCAAGTTTCTCCCCATGACCACCAGGCTCACCTTGCCCCCCTCCCAACAGGAATTCTGCACAGGGATTCCCCCTTTCTGGAACACTCTTCCCCATCTTATCACCTAGCTAATCCCTTCCTCACCCTTGTCGTTGCAGCGCTTACACCTCCTCCTCCTTGAAGCCCTCCCTGATTTATTCTCCCCCCTGGCTAGGTCAGCCTCCTCCTCTGAGCTTCCATAAGTGCTGAGCTCCTACCATCACAGCCCGAAGGTTGTCACCAGGGTTGGCTTGGTCACCCCTCTCTCAACAATGGGAGCTTCAGGAGGGCAGTGCCAGGAGCCCCCAGACCCAGCACCCTCTGGCGTCTTCTCACCCTTTCCGCTCCAAGTCATAGTGGTTGGTATACTGTTGATACATCAGAAGCTTCTCCACGGGCACGGGCCTCTTGACCAGCCGGCTCTCATACTTGTACATAAGGTACACCAGCTGCAGGGGGAAGGCAAGCCCAGGTGAACTGGTGTCAGCCCTCCTGGGGTGCCCCAGTGTCCCCCCCAAAGCCCCACCGGGCACCTGATATAGTTTGTTGCCTTCATAGAAAAGGGTCACCATGGTTTCATTAGATGCGTAGAGAGAGGATTGCTGCATCAGCTGTAAGCTGATGTGCACGTCCCAGCCCCTGGACGGGAACAGCTGGTACACCTGGTAGGTGCCCTCCACAAGGTACCAGATCTGCAGGTGCGACAGCCAGATGTGTGAGTGTGAGGACCATGGGTCCTCTGATCCCACCTCTCCTTCTGCCCACTGCGGTGGCCCCACTGTCTGAAGGATGAGGCTCCTTTTCTCTGGTGCCATTGGTCTACTTCCCAGAGCCCAGTCACCTCTGGTTCCGGCCCTCACACACCAGGATCACTCTTTTTTCCTTTTTTTTTTTTCTTTTTCTCAAGACAAGAGTCTCACTCTGTCTCCCAGGCTGGAGTGCAGTGGAGAAATCTCAGCTCACTGCAACCTCCACCTCCTGGGTTCAAGCAATTCTCCTACCTCAGCCTCCCAAGTAGCTGGGATCACAGGTGAGTGCCACCATGCCCAGCTAATTTTTTTTTTGTACTTTTAGTAGAGATGGGGTGCCACCATGCCCAGCTAATTTTTTTTTTTGTATTTTTAGTAGAGATGGGGTTTCACCATGTTGGCCAGACTAGTCTTGAACTCCTGACCTCAGGTGATCCACCCGCCTCGGCCTCCCAAAGTGCTGGGATTACAGGCGTGAGTCACGATGCCCAGCTCATGATCATTTTTTTCAATGTTTTTGGTCTATTTGGGTTGCTGGCACTTGCATCCTAAGCATCCCTATCATGCACACTCCCTAACAGTCATGGTTCCTAGGGCTGAGACCTCTTTTTCCTTCTCACTCTGCAGCCTCCAGGGTCTCATCATTTCCTTGGCCTCAGTTTCCCATCTCTGCACTGATACCCACCCCCAGACACATTTGAAGGGAACCTTCACTCCTCTTCCTGAGCCACAACCTGGGGGATCCTCTCCACATCCAAGATGTGCCCCTCCATGTGGCCTCCTCCAGGAAGCCCTCCCTGACATGCACAACTCCCCAGACTGGGCCAGGTTCCCCTACCTCCATAGGTAGTATTTTCCCCATTACAATCCTGATCGCTCTGTATTCTCCAGCACGGGAGCAGGCACACAATAAATGCTCAATATTTATGAAGCAAACAACCACACTGTGGGATGAAAGAGGGCAGCCTCTGAACATCAGATCATGGCTGCGGTCTGTGTGACTTTGGAGATGACACTTAGCCTCTCTGAGTTCCAGGGGTTTCAGCTATAAATGGAGCTTTACTGCCCTTTCTCAGGGTCCCCGAGGGCATCCCCCCCCTTTAACTCCTTTACCTTGACAGGGGGAAAAGAGAGGCCCCTGGGGTTTGGAGGAGGGCAGAGAGGGTATGGGGGGAGGGACAGGGTAACCCACCTCCTCTGTCTCTGTGACTATGACCATGTTCCCAAGGAATGATCTGGCTACATATTTGATGGTCTGTTCCTTGGGGAAGTCTGCCAGGTAGATGAAGTCTTCCTTGTTAGAGCTGCAGGGGCAGAGACAGAGAGCTAGGCACATTCTGGACAGCCACTTCCCCCAACCCCGTCCTAGTAACCCAGGAGCCACTTACTCAGTTTCTCCACTTTGAGGACATGCAAAGGAAATCCTAGCTCCTGCCCCCCACCCCAAACCCTCTGAGAGTCTCCAGCTCCCCATCTGTAAAACAGGAACATCGGGCCAAACTGGCAGTTTGCAAGCTACCCGTAAAGGTGGCTCAGGAGTCCCTAGGTTCCTGAGGGGCAAGAGGGTGGCTGGGGCACAGAGGATCCTAAACTGTCCCTGGAAAATGCTTGTCAAGGCCAGATGCGGTGGCTCATGCCTGTAATCCGAGCACTTTGGGAGGACGAGGTGGGCAGATCATGAGGTCAGGAGATTGATACTATCCTGGTTAACACGATGAACTCCCATCTCTACTAAAACTATAAAAAAATAGTGGGGCATGGTGGCGAACGCCTGTGGTCCCAGCTACTTGGGAGGCTGAGGCAGGAGAATCACTTGAACCTGGGAGGCAAAGGTTGCAGTGAGCCAAGATTTCGTCACTGCACTTCAGCCTGGGTGACAGAGCCAGACTCTGTCAAAAAAAAAAAAAAAGGAAGGTAGGAAGGAAGGAAGAAAAGGAGGAAGGAAGGGAGGAAGGAAGGAAGGGAGGGAGGAAGGAAGGAAGGAAGGAAGGAAAAAAGACAGGAAGGAAGGAAGGGTGGGAGGAAAGAAGGTAGGAAGGAAGGGAGGGAAGAAGGGAGGAAGGAAGGAAGGAAATGCTTGTCAGTTAGCGGGGAGCAGTGGCTCATGCCTGTAATCCCAGCACTTTCAGAGGTCGAGGTGGGAGGATCACCTGAGGTCAGGAGCTCAAGACCAGCCTGGCCAACATGGTAAAACCCCGTCTATACTAAAAATACAAAAATTACCTGGGCGTGGTGGCACGTACCTATAATCCCAGCTACTCAGGAGGCTGAGGCAGGAGAATCGCTTGAATCTGGGAGGTGGAGGCTACAGTGAGCCGAGATTGTGCCACTGCCCTGCAGCCTGGGTGAGACTCCATCTCCCCCCAAAATCAAAACCAAAAAAACCCTAGAAACTGTTCGTCTATTACTCACACTGGCTGGGTCTTTAAGAACAGGGCTCCCACAGCATTAGAATGGTGGCATCCCCCAGTCCAGCACGGACGACCCTACCCATGTGTTCCCCCACGGTCCTGATAAGTTCTGGATCTGGGCATCCTCTGAAGGCTTGGTGAGACTTCAGAAAGGGTCCCCGCCCTACAGGTGCTGGGGAGACAAAGCATCCCTGGCCGGGGCAGCGGAGGCCCACCTCTGCAGAAGGAAGTTGCCCCAGATGAAGATCAAGTTGTTGTAGGGGTTAGAGGAGATGCCCTTGGGGACCATAGGAGTTTTGGTGTAGGTCTCTGTCCCTAGGATCATCAGGAACTCCAACCCTCGAGCTGACCGGGGCAGAGGAAGAGAGGACACAAGCAGTGAGGTGGGGGTCACCTGGGCCCCTCCTGGCCTACAGCTGCCCTTAAGGCCACCTCTACCTTCCTCCCTACCTTCAGGGACAAATTCTGGGACTACGTAGACAATTTCCGTTTCCTCAGTAACTGCAGGTGGGGAGAACACAGCAAAATCTCCTGAGGCCCTGCACTTTGAAAACCTGGAGCTGGAGCAAGTTGTTGGCTTCTCGGCCGCCTGCAAAACCCTCCAAAGAGCTTCCCATCCAGCTTGCCAGTCCTTCGGGTTTCTTTTCTTTTCTTTTTCCCCGACACAGGACCTCATTCTATTGCCCAGGCTGGTGTGCAGTGGTATGATCTCAGATCACTGCAACCTCTGCCTCCCAGGTTCAAGTGATCCTCCCACCTCAGCTTACAGAGTAGCTGGGATTTTAGGCACGACACCCAGCTCATTTTTTTCTGTTTTGTTTGACATGGAGTCTTGCTCTGTCGCCCAGGCTGCCGTACAATGGCGCCATCTCAGCTCACTGCAACCTCCGCCTCCCAGGTTCTCCCAGCGATTCTCCTGCCTCAGCCTCCCGAGTAGCTGGGATAACAGGCACACACCATCATGCCTGGGTAATTTTTGTGATTTTAGTTGAGACGGGGGTTTCACCATGTTAGCTACGCTGGTCTTGAACTCCTGAGCTCAAGCCACCCACCTTGGCCTCCCAAAGTGCTAGGATTACAGGTATGAGCCCCGTTCCTAGCCCTTTAGAGTTTCTTCAAGTGAATTATAAAAAGGCACTGCCTTTGAGGGGAAACAGTCCTGTTAAGGCACAAGACGTGTCTCCTCTGACCCCTTGGTTGGGGGTTTTGTGCAGTGTACAGCCTGTACAACTCTCCATGGTGGCCCTGTTCTCACTGCAGGTAAAATAAAATCTTCTTCTTGTGAGTCACAGCATCCTTTCAGATCACCAAACTTATACTCTGTCCTCCACTGCTACCCCTCATCCAGGAGTGACATAGGGAATCTCGCCCTTCCTCTGTCTGCTGGGCACAGATCCCTCAGGAGGGCATGCAGTTCACAGTCTGGGCTCCTGCCCCTCTGCATCCCGCCCTCTGCATCACCCTGATTACCTCTGTTGTAGGTGACCAGATGGTACAATTTACTGCTCGAACTGTATGCACTCTCCACCAGCAGCAGTAGGGTATATTCGTCCACGATGTATTCGGACCAAATTATGTTACAGGTGTAAACTGAGAGAGAAAAGGGCAGTCCAGGGCTGCCCCAGGGCTCAACAGCCTTGGTCCTGTGCTGGCTGTGACTCCCCACATAATGCTCACCCCTCCCTGAGACAATGCTCATTTTTTTTTTTTAGATGGAGTCTCACTGTCGCCCAGGCTGGAGTACAGTGGTGTGATCTCGGCTCACTGCAGCCTCCACCTTCCAGGTCCATGCAACTCTTCTGCCTAAGCCTCCCGAGTAGCTGGGACTGCAGGCGCCTGCCACCACACCCGGCTAATTTTTTTGTATTTTTAGTAGAGATGGGGTTTCACCGTGTTAACCAGGATGGTCTCAATCTTCTGACCTCGTGATCCGCTCCCCCGCCCCCTGGTCTCTCAAAGTGCTAGAATTACTGCCCATTCTTTCCCATGACCGCTGCCACCCTCCCCTGCTGTTATGCATCCTCAGTCTTCCCAGCCTCCCACCACAGACCCATCGGAGGGATGAGTACCTTCTATCTGCTGGCACACAGACCACTGCTTGGGCAGCATCTCGAAGGACACCTGGCCATCTGCAGAGCAAGGTGGAATTCACGTTCAGGCCCCCTCCCTCCTGTCTGGCAGCCCATCAAGCCAATGCTGATTGTCCTCATGCCTCTCAGCCCCTCAATCCTTGGGATCTCATTCCCTGGCCTTGCTTCACTCACACCTGGCCTATCAGAGCATGTCTGTCTCTAGTCACGGTAATTGGCTCAGGTCTGGCCATGTGACCCACACAGGGCCAATCAGAGTTTACTCTGTGACTTGTGTTAGAATTAATGGGAAAGGAGCTGTCTTCATTCTCTTGGCGTGACTCAGATTAGTAGCTGACTTGAGTCTCAAGCTTTTAGGGGCCACCTTTAACCTCCAATGGAGGAATAGCTACCTGAAAACGGAGGCAAATTATAGGACCAATTATAATAAACCCTCCGTAACACTCACCATAGCCCTAGCACTAAGACCTTTACAACCAATTTAATCTTTATATCAACCCAGTGACCTAGATACTAGTACTACCATTAGCCACATTTTGTAGGTGAAGAAAACGAGATCAGAGAGGTCAAGTTACATATCCAAAGGCACACAGCGAGGGTGTGATGGAGCAGTCTCTCTCCAGAATCTATGTTATAATTAATTACCATGCCTCACTATGTTACCAAGAGATGGAGTCCTAATGACATACCCTGTGATCCCCTGGATCCAGCCATACCTGAAGCTGAACCTGTCTTTTCATTTATATAAGTCATCAAATTCTTTGTGCTTAAGTTATTATTATTATTATTATTGAGACAGTCTCACTCTGTTGCCCAGGCTGGAATGCAGTGGCATGATCTCGGCTCACTACAACCTCTGCTTCCCAGTAACTGGGACTACAGTGATTCTCGTGCCTCAGCTTCCCAAGTAGCTGGGACTACTGGTGCATGCCACCACACCTGGCTTATTTTTGTATTTTTAGTAGAGATGGGTTTTTGCCATGTTGGCCAGGCTGGTCTCGACCTCAGGTAATCCACCCACCTCGGCCTCCCAAAATGCTTGGATTATAGCCATGAGCCACCATGCCCCGCTGTGCTTAAATTATCTTTGAATTGGGCTTCTGCCATTTTGTGTTTTTTGGGTTTGTTGTTGTTTGTTTCTGAGTCAGAGTCTTGCTCTGTTGCCCAGGCTGGAGTGCAGTGGCATAATCTTGGCTCACCGCAACTTCCTCCTCCTGAGTTAAAGTGATTCTCCTGCCTCAGCCTCCTGAGTAGTGGGATTACAAGCACCTGCCACCACGTCTCACTAATTTTTATATTTTTAGTAGAGACAGGGTTTCACCATGTTGGCCAGGCTGTTTTTGAACTCCTGACATCAAGTGATCTGCCTGCCTCAGCCTCCCAAAGTTCTGGGATTACGGACCTGAGCCACCGCGTCTGACTCTTCTGCCCTTTAAAACCAAGTACATCATGAAAGATACATAACAGCCACCCCAAGCCCTACCCCTACAAACACATCCCTCCACCACCACCGCCACCACTACCACCACCACCCTCAGCCTGGGGCCCCTCCTGAGGGCACATGGTGAGGAGTGAGGGCCCTAGGTTAGGATCCTTGGAGGTAGGAGGGTATGGAGGGGTCCCTGGGGCTCCCAGAGGTCCCCACCCTTACCTGTGATGGTCCCGAGGTGTAGGAAACCCTCATTCTTGCCCAAGGTAAGGGCCATTACGTACTCAGAGCCATTGGCAGGGAAATGCACAGGGCACAGCTTCTTGATGCACTCACTGGCCAGGACACGAACCCAGCTGCCTAGGGAGGCCAGCATGGGGCTTCAGATCCAGGTGGCTGGGCCTGGGGCCGGCACCCCCCACCCACATTTTCCTAGCTTTAATGAGTCTATTATCTGTCCTCTCATGCTGAAGCACTTGTTCAGGGTGGTGTCGGGGGCACCTGGCAGAGGGCACCGCTGCCTTTGAAAAAAATCCTCCTTGCTCACGCTTTGTCCATGAGGGTCAGATTGGGCTGAACCCTCCCTTGCAGTCCCTTGGCCACAGTGATTAGCAGGTGACCAAGCTGGGCGAATCAGAGGCATTTCCAGCTTGCAATCAGCAACAAGATGCTCTTTTCTGGGGCTTCCGAGGGGCATAAAAGTCTATAGTTGTTGGGTAGGGGCCAGAGTCACCATGCCATGCACAAGGTGGTGACTGTTTAACCATGACAGTGAGCTCCTGGGTGCAGCCATTCCTGAAACCAACATGCTCCTGGGCTTTTCAGCCATGGAAACTAATAAACACCCCTTTTCTTTGGCTTAAGCCAACTTGAATTTGATTCCTCCCACTGTCAAAGTGCCTTAAGTAAGAGAAAAAGCAAAACTGCTGGGAACATGCATTCACTCATGAAATGTAAACTGCAGTCCAATTTCCGGTGACTCTGTAAGCTGACAGTTCTCACTAAGATGGGGGCCAAAACTAGAAGAAATAGGAGAGCTTTGGTATCATTTAAAAGATGAAATTGAATCAACAGTCTCTCTTTTTCCTCTCTCTCTCTCTCTTTTTTTTTTTTAAGATGGAGTTTTGCTCTTGTTACCCAGGCTGGAGTGCAATGGCACGATCTCGGCTCACTGCAACCTCCACCTCCTGGGTTCAGGCAATTCTCCTGCCTCAGCCTCCCGAGTAGCTGGGACTACAGGTGCGCACCACCATGCCCATCTAATTTCGTATTTTTAGTAGAGACAGGGTTTCACCTTGTTGACCAGGATGGTCTTGATCTCTTGACCTCATGATCCACCCGTCTCGGCCTCCCAAAAGTGCTGGGATTATAGGCGTGAGCCACCACGCCCGGCCCCCCTCTCTCTTTTTATTCAGACTCAGTCTTGCTCTGTCTCCCAGGCTGAAGTGTAGAGGTGTGATCTCAGCTCACTGCAACCTGTTTCCTGGGTTCAAGTGATTCTCCTTTCTCAGTCTCCTGAGTAGCTGGGATAACAGATGCTCACCACCACTTCCAGCTAATTTTTGTATTTTTAGTAGAGACGGAGTTTCACCATGTTGGTCAGGCTGATCTTGAACTCCTGACCTCAGGTGATCCACCTACCCTGGCCTCCCAAAGTGCTGAGATTACAGGTGTGAGCCACTGCGCCCAGCCCCTTTGTTGTTGTTGTTGAGACAGAGTGTCATGCCACACAGGCTGGAGTGCAGTGGCGCAATTTTGGCTCACTGTAACTGCCGCTGCCCGGGTTCAAGCAATTCTCTGCCTCAGCCTCCTGAATAGCTGGGGTTACAGGTACCCGCCACCACACCCAGCTAATTTTTATATTTTTAGTAGAGACAGGGTTTCATCATCTTCGCCAGGCTGGTCTCGAACTCCTGACCTCATGATCTACCTGCCTCAGCCTCCTAAAGTGCTGAGAATACAGGCGCAAGCCACCATTTCTGGTTTGTTTTTTTTTTTTAAATAAACAGAGTCTTGCTCTGTCGGCCAGGCTGGAGTACAGCGGTGCGATCGTAGCTCACTGCAGCCTCAAACTCTTGGACTCACCCGATCCCCCCATCTCAGCCTCCTGAGTGGTCAGGCATAAGCCACGTAGCTAGACTCTCTTTCTCCTCTCAGATGAGCTTCCCTTGAGGTTTTGCCGTCTGTTTCTCTCTCCTGCTCTGACTTTCTGACTTCCCATGCCCCTCTCCCTCTGACTTTCTCTCTCCCCGTCTGATCTCTCTTGGCACGTCCCTCTGCCATCGTGTGTGTGCACACGACTCTCTGCAACCTCCCTTCACTCTCACACCCCCTCTTCTCATGGCTGGCTCATAATTTCCAGGAAGGTCTGAGTGGAAGCCTCATACTGACAAAAAAAAGGGCAAGGGAAGGCCCATTTGGGGTGGGCAGGGGTGATTCAGGGCCTGGGCAATTTCCTTTTCCCCCACCCACCCATGGCAATTCCAGTCCCAGGGGCCTTCAGTGGATGGGTTCCCTGCCACGCCCGCTCACCACTGCCGCGGCTGCTCTCGTGGAGTGTGGTGTAGGTGCCTGTAAAGTAGTAGACCAGCTGGTTCTGCCGAATGAAGAGGGTGCTCTCGGTGGCAATAGCGTCATAGATGGTGGCGGTGAAGTCAGAATGGGGGCAGTAGACGGAGCCCACCCAGCAACTGTCAATGCTCAGCTGCAGGGGAGCAGAGGCTAGTGGTGAGCAGGTGGCCTCAGTCTCAGCCCCCATGTCCTGCCTTTAGGGGAAGTCCCTGCTCTGACGGCTGCTTGGGAGAGACAGGCAAAGCTTCCCCAGGAGTTGGGCGTGGTGGCTCACGCCTATAATCCCAGCACTTTGGGAGGCCAAGGCGGGTGGATCACAAGGTCAAGAGATCGAGACCATCCTGGTCAACAAGGTGAAACCCCATCTCTGCTAAAAATACAAAAATTAGCTGAGCATGGTGGTGCGTGCCTGTAGTCCCAGCTACTTGGGAGGCTGAGGCACGAGAATTGCTTGAACCCGGGAGGTGGAGGATGCAGTGAGCCGAGATTGCGCCATTGCACTCCAGTCTGGCTGACAACATTGAAACTCCATCTCAAAAAAAAAAAAAAAAAAAAGCTTCCCCAGGGCACTCTCCCTGCTTACCCTGCAGCAGCGCCTTGGTAGCCAAACTTCCCCCATAAGGACCAGAGAAGCAGGTGACCCAGGTCTGAGCCAGTTCAGGCTTTGTGCGCCCCCTGGAGTTGGGCCGTGCACAGCATGCTCAACAGCCCTCAGTTGTCCTTGTGCCCTGGCTACATACAGTCACGATTATATCCACATGGATACAACATCCCATGCTTGGCCCAAAGGACGTTGTTTTTGTTTTGTTTTGTTTGAGACAGTCTTGCTCTGCCGCCCAGGCTGGAGTGCAGTGGTGCAATCTTGGCTCACTGCAACCTCTGCCTCCTGGGTTCAAGCAATTCTTCTGCCTCAGTCTTCCAAATAGCTGGGACTACAAGTACGAGCCACCATACCCAGCTAATCTTTGTATTTTTAGTAGACACGGGGTTTATTGGCCAGGCTGGTCTCAAACTTCTGACCTCATGATCCACCTGCCTCATCCTCCCAAAGTGCTGGGATTACAGGTGTGAGCCACCACGTCTGGTCTTCTTCTTGTAGTTTCTAAGTGTGGTGATTGGGTTTTCACCCTCATGTGACACGCGCCTCCCTCAAACCTTGTTATAGTGTCTGCCCATTACCTGTCTGACATGAAATAAAAACAAACTCCCTGTTAATTTTGGAGTGATGGAAATTTTTTGGAAGTAGATGGTGGTGGTTGCACAATATTGTGAATGAACTAGATGCCACTGATGTTCACTTTAAAATGGTTAAATTTGGCTGGGCATGGTGGCTCACACCTGTAATCCCAGCATTTTGGGAGGCCAAGCCGGATGGATCACCTGAGGTCAGAAGTTCGAGACCAGCCTGGCCAATATGGTGAAACCCCATCTCTTAAAAAAAAAAAAAAATTAAAAAGTATAAAAAATAAATAAATAAAATAAAATGGTTAAATTTATGGCTTTCACCTCAATAAGTTAAAAAAAAGAAAAAAATAAACTAGACTTTGGATACCTGAATTCAAACTGAACTTGTTTTCATTCCTATGAATATAAACACCTTCTCTGTGGCCAGGCATGGTGGTTCATGTCTGTAATACCAACACTTTGGGAGACTGAGGTGGGCAGATCACTGCAGTCCAAAACCAGCCCGGCCAACATGGTGAAACCCCATCTCTACTAAAAATACAAAATTAGCAGGGTGTGGTGGTACATGCCTGTAATCCTAGCTACTTGGGAGGCTGAAGCAGGAGAATCGCTCGAACCCAGGAGGTGGAGACTGCAGTGAGCTGAAATCGTGCCATGGCACTCCAGCCTGGGCAACAACAGCACAACTCCATCTCAAACAAGAAGTAGTTTGTGAAAATTGGCCAGGCACAGTGATCCCAGCCCTTTGGGAGGCCTAGGTGGGAAGATTGCTTAAGGGCAGGAGTTTGAGACCAGCCCGGGCAACATGAGACCCCATCTCTACAAACAATTTTTTAAAATTAGCCAGGTGTGGTGGCACATGCCTGGAGTACCAGCTGCTTGGGAGGCTGAGGCAGGAGGATCATTTAAGCCCAGGAGTTGGAGGCTGCCATGAGCTATGATAGCACCACTGCCCTCCAGCCTCGGTGACAGAGCAACAGCCTGTCTCTTGACAAAAAAATAAAAAAGAAGAAGTTTGTGGAAACTGAACAACGTCTGAATAGACTTGGCTCAGAACAGAGAAAGTTGGACAGACAGATGGTCCACAAACTGAACGAATTACACAGAAGCAGGAATTCAGAGCCAGAGGGGTCAGGACAATACTAATCCACATGGGATCCTCAGTAATTGTGAATAGGGCTTTCGATCTTTATGGGAGGAAGTTAAGGCAATCTTTTTTTTTTTCTTGAGACAGAGTCTTGCTCTACCACCCAGGCTGGAGTGCAGTGACGTGATCTCGGCTCACTACAACCTCTGCCTCCTAGGTTCAAGCGACTCTCCAGCGTCGGCCTCCCGAGTAGCCGGGATTACAAGCACCTGCCACCATGCCTGGATACTTTTTGTATTTTAGAAGAGACAGGATTTCACCATGTTGCCCAGGCTGGTCTTGAACTCCTGACCTCAGGTGATCTGCCCGCCCACCTCAGCCTCCCAAAGTGCTGGGATTACAAGTGTGAGCCACTGTGCCCAGCTATGGGTGCACTTCTTTTTTTTTATATATATATATATTTTTCTTTTTAAAAGATGCGGTTTCTCCATGATGGCCAGGCTGGTCTTAAACTCCTGACCTCAGATGATCCACCCATCTTGGCCTCCCAAAGTGCTAGGATTACAGGCGTGAACCACCGTGCCCAGCCAACAGTTTTTTTTTTCTTTCTTTCTTTCTTTTTTTTTTAAGATGGTGTTTTGCCATGTTGGTCAGGCTGGTCTTGAACTCCCGACCTCAGGTGATCCGCCTGCCTTGGCCTCCAGAGTGCTTGGATTACAGGCGTGAGCCACCAGGCGTGAGCCCAGCCTGGTGCACTTCTTAAAGCCAGTTCTCTGAGTAAATCAACCTAGCTTAGCATTCTGCCTGCAGCTGCACTAATTCCATAACGTTTCTGTCAAAGACGCGGAAAGATCCTTGCTTCAGACACTCCCTCCCCATTCTGGATAATACAGGCTCTCAATGCCTAATAGGAAACCCTTGGGCAGAGACGTATATTGCAATGCAGAATCTTCCAGTGTAGAAGGTAATGGCACATATATACCATTGGTTATGGAAGCTATTAACTTTTTTTTTTTTCTGAGACAGGGTCTTGATCTGTCTCCCAGGCTGGAGTGCAGTGGTGTGATCATAGCTCACTGCAGCCTCGAGGTTCCAGCCTCAAGCAATCCCCCTGCCTCAGCCTTCTGAGTAGCTGAGACTACAGACTGATGCCACCACCCCTGGCTAAGTTTTGGCAGAAATGGGGTCTCACTGTTTTCCAGGCTGGTCTTGAACTCCTGCACTCAAGCGATTCTCCTACCTCAGCCTCCCAAAGTGCTGGGATTATAGGCGTGAGCCACTGCACCTGGCCAGAAACTAACTATATCATCCTCACAACAATTCTATGAATAAATATAAACATTACTCCCATGTTACAAATAGGAATCTGAGAACTGGCCAGGTCGCTGAACTGCCAGGTCCAGGGTCAGGCAGCCAGGAGGTGGCAGAACCAGGATTTGAACCTAGGCCCTCTGGCTATAGAACCTTGTGTTTTTCTTCTTCATGCTATCTGCCTCTCATGGGGACTGGTGTGTCTTTGGGGACCTCTTCTAGAGCCCCAGGCCCCCACTCTATTTCAGGGGCAGAGGCCCCGCCCACCACCTGTCCCACACCACTCACCTCCAAGAACGAGTGATCCTTGAAGCTGGTGTCAGTTATCAGGACATACTTCTCATTGGGAATGCCACCCAGGATGAGCACAGGTGCCTGGTTCACAGTGTACCACAGGGGCCTCGATGAGATACCCACAAAGTGCTCAGGTAACAGGTCGTACAGCTGTCAGGGAGGGACATCAATACTCCCGTCACTCACCTGTGGCTTCATCACATGTAGGTCTAAGGCCTGACCTGGACCACAAGACCCCACACGATTTGTCCTCCTCACTTCCCTGACCTCATTCCTTGCCATTCTCCCCCTCGTTCGCTCTCTCCCGGCCACATGGTCTCTTCTCTGCTTCTCAGACCTCCCAGGCACACGCCCACCTCAGGGCCTCTGCACTGCGTCCCTTGACGAAACGCTCTTGCCCTAGTATCCATGCGATTCTCTCCTGGGAGGCTTTACTCAGCCTTCTCAGCGAGGCCTTTCTTGACCATCCTATTAAACACTACACTCTCCTTTGGCACAGACCCAACTCCTGTTGCCCTGTTCCATTTCTCCCCAGAGCACTTACCACCCTTTATATGGAATTCACTTGATTTTCACGTTTACCGGCTTACCATCTGTCTCTCCCACTAGAGTGTCAGCTCCAGGAGGGCAGAGATTTGGGTCTGTGTGTTCACTGCCGTGTCCCCATGATGCATGTGCTCAGTAAGTGACTGCATGAATGAATGGATGAATGCATCATGATTAAGAATATGGGCACAGGCCCGGCACGGTGGCTGGCGCCTGTAATCCTAGCGCTTTGGGAGGCCGAGGTGGGCAGTTCACTTAAGTCCCAGAGTTTGAGACCAGCCTGGGCAACATGGTGAAACTCTGCCTCTACTAAAAACACAAAAACTGAGGTGAGAGGATCACCTAAGCCTGACAAGGTCAAGGCTGCGGTGAGCCAAGATCGTCCCATAGCACTCCAGCCTGGGTGACAGAGTGAGACCTCCTCTCTATAAAAAACTTAAAAAATTATTAGCTGGGTGCAGTGTTGGGTACCTGTAACCCCAGCTACTTGGGAGGCTGAGGCAGGAGAATTGCTTGAACCTGGGAGGCAGAGGTTGCAGTGAGGCGAGATCATGTCACTGCACTCCAGCCTGGGTGACAGAGCAAGACCCTGTCTCAAAAATAAATAAATAAATAATTTAAAAATTAGCTGGATATGGTGGTACATGCCTGTGGTCCCAGCTGCTTGGGAGGCTGAGACAGGAGGATCGCTTGAGCCTGGGAGGTCAAGGCTGCAGTGAGCCATGACTGCACCACTGCACTCCAGCCTGGATGACAGCGCAAGATCCTGTCTCAAAAAAAAAAATTCACGCCTGTAATGTCAACACTTTGGAAGGCTGAGGCCAGTGAATCACTTGATGTCAGGAGTTTGAGACATCTTTACATAACAACATATGGCCAACATAACAAAGCCTGGTCTCTACCAAAAATACAGAAATTAGCCAGGCATGCTGGCTCGTGCCTGTAATACCCGCTACTAGGGAGGCTGAGGCAGTGTTCTCCTCTTCTTTACAATGGAGTACGTGAGAGTACGTCCCCTCGAAGGGTCACTGGGGAGGTTACCGGGACCTTCACCCGGGGCCTGGCATGAAGTTGGATCTGCCACTTGTCTGGGAAGTAACCAGGGCGTCAGCCCAAGACCAAGACCACTGTGTCTTTCCCCTGCGTAGACGCCCTCACCTCCTCTCCCACAGTGTACACGATGCGGCTCTCCTCATCTCTCTTCAGGAAGCCGTTGATGTTCATCTGGAAGCTGGCAGCACATGCAGGACAGGCACCGGTGACGTTCCAGTGTCAGGAGCTCCACAGCCTGTGGCTGCCTCTCTTCTCCCCATTCTCTGCCTTTGGTCTCCCACTGGCTCCTCTAGGGACCCTGGGGTGAGGAATTCCCCTGGAGTCCACCCTGGCCCCAGGCTTGGGAAAGGGTACCATTTATCTTGAATGAAGGTCCCCAGGCGATTGCTGCTGATGTCCACCTGCATGATCACGCTGCCATTCTTGATGGGCATGGGTGTGTACCAGCTCATGCTACACACTTCCTCTGCTACGCATTCCTCTGAAACTGAAATTGCTGGGGCCTCTCAATGGCCAGTTCCAGGCCCCAGACCACACTGGGATCTCCCCACAACTCCCATTTCCACCTCCATGTCATGGGTCCCACTGGGGCCTCTGTGTGGCCCCATGTAGGCCATGGAAGGTGCTAAGCTCCCTTCCATACCCTCGTCAGATCATGGCCCCACGGAGGTCTCCAGCAACCCCCACACCCCTGCCAGGCTGCGACCCCCTCCCACCTTCCCCAGGCCCACCTTCGCTGCGGAAGGGGGCAGCCTCCATCTGGATCTGCAGCTGCTCTATCTTCCAGCGGTAAAAATTGACTGGGGACTGGAAGGTGACCAGCACCAGGGGCTTTAGCCCTGTCAGGTGGCCCATGCGCACCAGGTCCTGAGAGAGCTGAGGGCGAGATGGCCCCATAAGTGTGTCCTTATGGTGGCCTGTGGGTCCCCCTGCCTTGAGCCCACCTTGAGCAGCCTGTCTCCCAGGCTGGCCAGGGCAGCACACTGTCCACCATGTGATGGTCAGAAGGCGTGGTCTAGGTCTGGGGCTTGGATGGGGGATGGGCCAGCACAAGAGAGGGGCAGAGAGGTAAGGGGCTGTGGAGGGAGTTGGAGGCCTTTCTGGAGGAGGTGACACCAGAGCCAGTGTCTGCAGACAGAATGTGCATGTAGGGAATACATAGGGAAGGGTAGCATAGGATGAGCAAAACTGCAGTGGGGAGGGATGCTGGGAACGGGGAGGGGTGCTAGGAAGGGGGAGGAATGCTGAAAAGTGGGGGTGTTGGGAAGGGGGCTGCTGGGAAGGGGAGGGGTGCTGGGAACGGGGGGTGCTGGGAAGGGGGAGGGATGTGGCACCTAGGATGCTGCTTTCCATGCAGGGATACCCAGTTCCATGCTTTAAAAAAAAAAATTAGAGAAATGAGTTCTCACTACATTGCCTAGGTTGGTCTTAAAGTCCTGGTCTCAAGAGATCTGCCCTCCTCGGCCTCCCAAAGTGCTGGGATTACAGGCATGAGCCACTATATCCAGCCTCTTTTTCCTTCTTTGAAAATCTGTGTGTGTGTGTGTGTGTGTGTGTGTAAATTTCCTTGATGATTTAGAAGGACTATCTTCAAACCAATACAAATATTTCATACATAATACCTGGCCATTTTCTAACCAAGTGAGTACAGTTCACCAAGAAATACCTTACATTTGAATAGTCAAGACATTACCTAATGAATTAGGACATAATTAAAATTTGTTTGAAATATTTCTTTGAGGGAGAGGATACCATACTTCTACCAATGAAGAGAAACATTTTTACAGTCTAGAGGTCTTTTATTTTTTTCGCACCTATCATGCCATGGATTCACAGGGAATAGGTTCTAGCAGCTCAGTCCTTCCCACTGGTTCTCATAAAGAGTGCTTCTCTGGGTGGAGCAGGCTCACGCTTCAGTTGAACCCAGGTAACTTTCTTTTTTTTTTTTTTTTTTTGAGATGGAGCCTTGCTCCACCGCCCAGACTGGAGTGCAATGGTGCGATCTTGGCTCACTGCAACCTTCACCTCCTGGGTTCAAGTGATTTGCGATTCTCTCCTTCCTCGGCCTCCAGAGTAGCTGGGATACAGGCCTGAGCCACCATGCCTGGCCTTATTTATTCATTTAAGTTGTTTATTTTTTACATGGGACAGGGTCTTGCTGTATTGACCAGGCTGGTCTTGAACTCTTGGCTTCAAGCAATCCTCCAGCCTTACCCTCCTAAAGTACCAGGATTACAGGTGTAAGCAACTGCACCTGGCCTTGTTTTTTTTTGTTTTTTTTGGGGTTTTTTTTAGAGATGAATCTTGCTCTGTTGCCCAGGCTGGAGTGCAGTGGTGCCATCACAGCTCACTGTGTCCTCCACCTCTTCAGACTTCAGCAATCCTCTTGCCACAGCCTCCCAGGTAGCTGGGACTACAGGTACCACTACCACGCCTGGCTAATTTGTTTATTTTTTTGTAGAGACAGGGTCTCCCTGTGTTGCCCAGGCTGGTCTTGAACTCTTGGGCTCAAGCAATCTTCTCTCCCTTGCCTCCCACAGTGCTGGGACTACAGGCATGAGCCACCACACCTAGCGCCAGGCTCCTTTCAATCCTGTCCATTATACCTGTCCCTAGCCCTGCCTCTGAGTTCCCATTCCAGATGAGGAGCTGCTGGTGGGACAGGGACCTCCTCCCTGTGAGGAGGACAGCAGCAGCTAACACCCTGGTCCTGTGCCCCGTCATCTCCTGCCTGGGCAATGCAGCAGCCTCCTCCTTGTCACCCTGCTCCTGCCCTGCCCTCTACACAACAGGAGGAAGCTGGGAAGACCAGAATCAGATCATGTCCCTCCTCTGCACAGGGCCTTCTCAGGTTGTGTCTCACTCAGAGTAAAAGCCAAATTCTCACCATGGCCCATCAAGCCCAAAAAGCCTTTCCCCATCACCTCCCTGACCTCTCTCTCCAACACTCTCTCCCACTGACTCTGCTCCAGCCACACAGCCCTCTTGACAGTTTCTCACACCTGCTGCCCTCTTTCCTACCCGTGGGCCACTGTGTGGGCTGTTCCCTTGGCCTGCAATGCTTTGCCTGGCTCTCCTCACAGTCGCCACTTTTCATCATCTGAGTCTCTGCTCAAGCCCCTTCAGAGTGACCTTCTCCAACCTCCTCCACTAAAACAGTGCCCCCTTCTTTCTCCCTATCACCTTATTTTATTCTTTGCATTTACTAATATTACTCTCAGAAATTCTTTTATGCCAGCCTCAGGCAACATAGTAAGACCCTGTCTCTACAAAAAAATGAAAAGTCCACTGGTGTGATGGCTCAAGCCTGTAATCCCTGCTATTTGGGAGGCTGAGCCAGGAGGATCACTTGAGCCCAGGAGGTCGAGGCTACAGTGAGCTATGATTGAGCTGCTGCACTCCAGCCTCGGCAACAGAGCAAGACCCTGTCTCAAAAAATAAAATCATTATTCCATTTTTAATGCATTTACTTGCTGATTATCTGCTTCCAGGGTCAACTGAATCCACAAGAAAAACCTGACCATTTTATTCACCATTGTATCACCTGCAATAAAAGGGGGCCTGAGTCATAGCGGGTGTTGAGTGAACAGAAAAAGGTATTATTCCCACATGGAGCCTTTTCTATGAGCCAAGTACTGAGCACGCTTCACACATATTTAATCACTGTATGATTGCTATCATACCCTTGTTAATGATAAGGAAGCTTTGGCACAGACAGGTTAAGTAATTTGCTTGAGAACACACCGCTCTCAGGTGCCTGGCTTCAGAGCACAAACAATTAACTACAGACAAAACAATCTAGAAAAAGCAGAACAAAGTGGGAGAACTCATTTGAAAACTTACTACAAAGGTACAGTAATTAAGACTGTATAGGACAGGCATAGTGTCTCATGCCTGTAATCCCAGCACTTTGGACGGCCGAGGAGGGCAGATCACCTGAGGTTAGGAGATCGAGAACAGCCTGGCCAACATGATGAAACCCTGTCTCTACTAAAATACAAAAATTAGCCAGGCGTGGTGGTGCGCGCCTGTAATCCCTGATACTCAGGAGGCTGAGGCAGGAAAATTGCTTGAACCCAGGAGGTGGAGGTTGCAGTGAGCCAAGATCATGCCACTGCACTCCAGCCTGGGCGGCAGAACGAGACTCCATCTCAAAAAAAAAAAAAGAACAATCTCAGCAAATGGTACTGGGACAACTGGATATACATATGTAAAAGCTTGAACTCCTACCTTACACCCTATATAAAAATTAACTCAAAATGGATTAAAGACCTAAATGTAAGAGCTAAAACAAAAAATCCCTTAGAAGAAAATATGAGTAAGTCTTCATGATCTTTAGTTAGGCAAGGACTTTGTAGATGACACAAAAAGCACAAGCAAAAAAAAAAAAAGAAAGAAAAGAAAAGAAAAAAATTAATAAATTGGGCTTCATCAAAATTTAAAACTTTTCTGCTACTTCATGGTGGGTGAATTACATCTCAATAAACATAAAGCTTGTGCTTTAAAGATACCACCAAGAAATGAAAAGACTAAAAGACCATGTTGTAATAAAAAAAAAAAAGAAAGAAATGAAAAGACAACTCACAGAGTATAACAAAAATATTTACAAGTCATTTATCTGAGAAGGAACTAGTTAAAATATATAAATAACTTTTACAATATATAAATAAATTTTTAAAAATATATAAAGAATTTTCACAACAATAAAACAGCCCAGTTGAAAAACAAACCAAAGATCTGAACAGACATTTCTTTTTTTTTTTTTTTTGAGACTGAGTCTTGCTCTATCGCCAGGCTGGAGTACAGTGGCATGATCTCAGCTCACTGCAACCGCTGCCTCCTGGGTTCAAGCAATTCTCCTGCCTCAGCCTGCCAAGTAGTTGGGATTACAGGCACATGCCACCATGCCCAGAAGCTAATTTCTGTTTTTTGTTATTTTTTTGAGATGGAGTTACACTCTGTCACCCAGGCTGGAGTGCAGTGGCATCTCAGCTCACCGCAACCTCTGCTTCCTGGGTTCAGGCAATTCTTCTGCCTCAGCCTCCAGAGTAGATGGGACTACAGCTACGTGCCACCACACCCAGCTAATTTTTTAGTGTTTTTAGTAGAGATGGGGTTTCCCATCTTGGCCAGACTGGTCTCGAACTCCTGACCTCATGATCTGCCAGCCTCGGCCCCCCAAAGTGCTGGGATTACAGGCATGAGCCACCGTGCCTGGCCAATTTTTGTATTTTTAGTAGAGACAGGGCTTCACCATTTTGGTCAGGGTGATCTTGAACTACTGACCTTGTGATCCGCCCACCTCAGCCTCCCAAAGTGCTGGGATTACAGACGTTAGTCACCGCGCGGTCAACATTTCTTTTCTTTTTTTTTTTCCTTTTTTGAGACGGAGTCTTGCTCTGTCACCAGGCTGGAGCATGGTAGCACAATCTTGGCTCACTGCAACCTCTGCCTCCCGGGTTCAAGTGATTCTTCCACCTCAGCCTCCCAAGTAGCTGGGACTACAGGCACATGCCACCAAGCCCAGCTAATTTTTATATTTTTAGTAGAGACGGGGTTTCACCATGTTGGCCAGGATGGTCTCAGTCTCTTGACCTTGTGATCCGCTTGCCTCGGCCTCCCAAAGTGCTGGGATTACAGGCATGAGCCACCATGACTGGCCTTTTTTTTTTTTTTTTTTTTTTTTTAAGAGTGGGCACCAGGTGCAGTGGCTCACTCCTGTTATCCCAGCACTCTGGGAGGCCGAGGTGGGTGAATCACCTAAGGTCAGGAGTTTGAAACTAGCCTGGGCAACATGGTGAAACATCGTCTCTAATAAAAAGACAAAAAATTAGCCCAGCATGGTGGTGTGTACCTGTAATCCCAGCAACTCAAGAGTCTGAGGCAGGAGAATTGCTTGAACCTAGAAGGCGGAGACTGCAGTGAGCCGAGATCGCACCACTGCACTCCTGCCTGAGCAACAGAGCGAGACTCCATCTCAAAAATTAATTAATTAATTAAAATTAAAATAATGACAAGGTCTGTCTCTGTCACCCAGGCTGGAGTGCAGTAGCATGATCACAGCGCCCTGCAGCCTCAACCTTTTGGGCTAAATATGATGCTCTACCCTTAGCACTTCTACAGGTGTGAGTCATGCCCAGCCAAATTCACCTAGGCTAGTCTTGAACTTCTGAATGCAAGCGATTCTCCCATGGTGGGTGGTGGTACACAACTAGTCTCAGCTATTCAAGAGGCTGATGCAAAGGTTCACTTGATCCCAGGAGGTCAAGGCCGCAATGAACCACGATTTCACCATTGCGCTCCACCCTGGGTAAGAGTGAGACCCTGCCTCAAAAAATAGTAATAGTGGTGGATGTTATGGTGTGTGAATTATATATATGATAAAGTCCTATTCATAGCTTTAAAAACAGGGAACAAAAAAGCTTACTTGAGCACCAGCTAGGTGCTTGGTGGGTTACTGAGAACTGTACATAGATAGCCTTCTTGAATTCTTAAAGCCCCCAGGGCTGAATTGTGCTACCACTATTAAAATGTTAAGAGATGGGGCTGGACGAGGTTGCTCATGCCTGTAATCCCAGCACTTTGGGAGGCCGAGGAGGGTGGATCACATGCAATCAGGAGTTTGAGACCAGCCTGAGCAACGTGGTGAAACCCCGTGTCTACTAAATATGCAAAAATTAACCGGGCATGTTGGCGCACACCTGTATTCTCAGCTACTCCCGAGGCCAAGGCAGGAGAATTGCTTGAACCCCGGAGACAGAGCTTGCAGTGAGCCGAGATCGCGCCACTGCACTCCAGCCTGGGCAATAAAGTGAGACTCTGTCTCAAAAATAAAGAAATAAAATTAAAAAATTAAAAAGTTTAGTCAAAGATGACTGCCAAAAAGGAGGAAAATTTTTTTAAAAAGTTAGAGATGGGGAAACCGAGGTTCACAGAATGAACCTATCCCTTCCTTCTGCACCCACTCACCTTTTCGTTGCAGAAGTAGCTGATCTTCAGGTAGTAAGGGAAGCCCAGGTATTTCTGCAAAGAGAGGTTGGGCCGCATGTTCAGAGTTGAGTGGAGTGGGGGTTCAAGATCCCTGTGGTTCGCTTGACCCTGGTTCTCTCACCTCTTTCGGGTCGATGGGTGAGTCCACTAGCGTCTGAAACACCTTGCCCACTGTGTCCATGGGCTCTTGCTCAAAGAAGCGGTCTTCCACGCCATCCTCGCCTACCCTGTGAAACTCGTTCAGGACAACATGCCAGGTGCATTCCTGGAAATCCTTGAGCGCCCACAGCATCCGCGACGCCAGCAGCACTGCCAGCAGGGCCCACAGCACCTGCAGGACTCGGACTTTGGGCCACGCAGGACCAGCAGGGAACATGGCTGAGTCGCACAATAACATGGTTAGAACCTGGAGAACGCAGGCCTCAACACCCACGTGTAGGCCAGCTCTCTGGACCCCACTTCTAAGATTCCACTTCCCCTCTGCGCCTGATACAGCCCCTGCCTGCTCCTAGCTACGCCCCGGCTCTTGCTCCGGGCCCCGCCCCTGCTCTTGCTCCGGGCTCCGCCCCTGCTCTTGCTCCGGCCCCGCCCCTGAACGTACTTCTAGCCCCGCCCCTGCTCTTGTTCCTGGCTCCGCCTCTGCACTTGCTCCTAGTCCCAATCCTACTTTTGCTCCTGGCCCTGCCGCTGACTCTCGTGGGTATCGCGCCTCTGCTATTGCTTCGGGCTCCAGCCCTACTAATGTTTCTGACCACAGCCCTGCTCCTGTGCCTCGTTCCGCCTTGCCTCCATGTCTTCCTTTAACTTTGTCCCCACCTTGCTCCTTGCTCTGCACCCTCTCTGTATTCCACTTTTGCTCTTCACCAATGGTCTCGGTTTCTATTTGTCGCTTTGACAGTCCCCCTCCTGTGTTCCCCCCTCCTCATCCTGCCTGCAATCGCACCCGTGTACTTCCACCCACCTCCACACTTCTCTCGGTATTGCCCCTTTCTCCATGCCGGGGGTCTGCCCAGGGGCTGGGTACTATACCTAGTCTCGCCCCTCTCCGGGCCCCGCCCCTGCTCTGGCTTTCTGCCCCGCCCCTGCTCTTGCTCCTGGCCCCGCCCCTTCTCTTGCTCCCGGCCCGGCCCAAGTTTCGTGCCCCGGTCTTGCTCCACGCTCTGCTTCCGCTCATGGCCCCGCCCTTGCTTCCCCACCTGGACCTTGTGGACCCGTCCCTTCCTCGGGTTCTCGGCGATTGGTTCTTCCCGCGCCGGCCCCTCGCCTCGTCCCGCCTTCTTGCCACGCCCCTCCTTCTCGCCCCGCCCTTTGTCGATGGAGACTGTCTTTTCGCCTCGGGATTTTTCCTCGCCCTTCGCTCTCTCCTCTGCCCGCACCTTCTCCTTCCACGCCGGCACCACCTTCTTAGTCGGCCCCTTCTCGAGTCTCACAATCCCCTTGTATCGCGACACCTTCTTGCCCCACTTCTCACCCTTTCTTCCCATGCCATTAACACCTGCCTCCTTTATATCCCGCCTCTCCTACCGCTCCCCGCCCTTCACCCTTCGCGTCTGCCTCTCCTTTTCCCTCTGCCAGTTCCCACGACTGCTTTTCCCTGCTTCTCCCCTCTTTTCCCTGCTTCTCCCGTTCTCCCCTCCCTTTCCTAGCCCCTCCCCGTCCCTGGCATCCCCCCGCCCCGGGATGGCATCGCTCTTTCTCCCCGGCCCTGTGGTACCAGTCACTTGGTTAAAACCAGTCAACGGTCTCTCGGCCGCAACAGTCCCGTTCCTTTTGCCCGGTCTCAAAATGGCCGCCCACACTTCTTCCGCCTTTGCTGAGGCACGCCCGCCTCGCACGCTGTCTCCTAGGTAACGTGTAACCCGAAGGCACCGAGGGCCGGGGGCAGTCTCAGCACTCAGAGCGCGGCACCTGGTCGGCAGAGGGTGCTGGAGACAACGTTTGTGTCAGGAAGGACTTCAAGGAGTTCCTATTGGTTGTTCCGGCAGCAGGCACCTTCCCTACTTGTCCTTCTACCCAAAAATTCTTTTTTTTTTGAGACGGAATTTTGCTCTTTCGCTCAGGCTGCAGTGAAGTGACGCGATCTCGGCTCACTCCAACCTCTGCCCCCCGGGTTCAAGCGATTCTCCTTCCTCAGCCTCCCGAGTAGTTGGGATTATAGGCGCCAGCCACCACGTCTGGCTAATTTTTTTTTCTTTTTCTTAAGTTTTTTGTCTTTTATAGAGACGGGGTTTCACCATATTGGTCAGGCTGGTCCTGAACTCCTGACCTCAGGTGATCCACCCGCCTCGACCTCCCAAAGTGCTGGGATTACAGTTGTGAGTCACCGCGCCCGGCCCAAATTTTTTTTTTTTTTTTGGTATGTTTAATAGAGATGGGATTTCGCCATGTTGGCTAAGCTGGTCTCAAACTTCTGACCTCAGGCGATCCACCCGCCTTGGCTTCCCAAAGCTCTGGGATCACAGGCCTGAGTCACCACGCCCCGCCCTACCTAAAAATTCTACTCCCCAAAATAGTGTGGTCTCCTAGAGGCCTTATGGGAATGAATCGGCGGTTTAGCACTGTCCTCTAAACAGGACAAGGGCAGCCGTCGCACTCGGTGCTGGGAAATGTGCCCGGCTCAAGTAAAATATTCATTAAGTTAATTTTCATTTGCATTCTGGTGCCTTACAGGTAAGGATTCAGGCCATGACTTTTTGATGAACTGCAAACCAGACGTTTAACTCAGTGGTTTTCAAATATAAGCATGCATTTGACTCACCTAAAGGGCTGGGTAAGCCACGTTGGTGGGCACCACATCCTGAGTTTTTGTTTTTGTTTTAAAGATAGAGTCTCTGGCTGGGCATAGTGGCTCATGCCTATAATCCCAGCACTTTGGGAGGCTGAGGTAGGAGGATCACTTGAGACCAGCGTGGCCAATATGGTGAGACCCTGTTGCTAAAAAAATATTTTTTTTATTAGCCCAGTGTGGTGGCCCAACCCTGTGGTCCCAGCTTCCCAGGAGATTGAGGCAGGAAAATCACTTGAGCCCAGGAGTTTGAGGCTGCAGTGAGCTGTGAAATACACCACTGTATTTCAGCCTGGGCAACAGAGCAAGACCCTGTCTCAGGTTAGCCTTGAATTTCTGGGCTCGTGTGAGCCTCCACTTCAGCCTCCTGAATAGCTACCTGGCTACCTCCAGGATTTTTGATTCAGTAGATCTGGAGTGAGGCCTGACAATTTGTTCCTACATGATGCTGGTACTAATAGTCTGGAGACCATACCTTGAGAACTAGTGCTCTAGAACCTTCCATGACCCTCTAGGCCCTCAGGAAAACTTCCAAAACCCTCATACTCTCCTCCTGTCACTCTATCTGGCTCATCTGCCCTCTCCCCCATAGACTTCTATGGTCCACAGCCTGGTCACATGGACCGACTTGAATATCCTTGAACAGGCATGACCTGTGCACACTCCAGACCTGTGCAGGCTCAGTAACGCCTCTGGAATATTAGTCCATCTTTTTTTTTTTTTTTTTTTTTTTTTAAGATGTAGTCTCACTCCATCACCCAGGGTGGAGTGCAGTGGTATGATCTCAGCTCACTGCAATCTCCACCTCCTGGTTCAAGTGATTGTCCTACCTCAGCCTCCTGAATAGGCGCCCACGACCATGCCCCCCTAATTTTTGCATGTTTAGTAGACAGGGTTTCACCATGTCCCCACCCCCCACTCCAGCCTCCCAAAGTGCTGGGATTACAGGTATAAGCCACTGCACCCAGCCCTATTCCCTACTTTTTAACAAGGCCCACCACTTTCCTTCCTTTAGGTCTTCTCTGTGATAGTGACCAGCCCTCATCTCACCTCTTGGCCCCTCTAGGCCGCTCCTAGTTGGAAATGGGTCTTCCTTTTCCACTGGATCACAAGCTCCATGAGGGCAGGGTGTGTGGCTTTCTGCCTCTGTTGTCCCTCAGCCCTGCCAGGCACCACACATAATAGTTGTTTTATGTAAATGAATCGATGGTGGTCTATCTGTCCCACCCCAGCCCAGCCCCACAGGCCAGGGAACGGTGCTGTCTTCTAAAGGAAGAAACTCAGTCACCATGTACTGGAGCCATTCATTCATTCATTTATTATTTTGAGACAGAGTCTCTCTCTGTCACCCAGGCTGGAGCGCAGTGGCACGATCTTGGCTCACTGCAATCTCTGCCTTCCGGGTTCAAGTGATTCTCCTGCCTCAGCCTCCCTAGCAGCTGGGACTACAGGCATGCGCCACCATGCCCAGCTAATTTTTGCATTTTTAGTAGAGATGGGGTTTCATCATATTGGTCAGGCTGGTCTTGAACTCCTGACCTTGTGATCCATCCGCCTTGGCCTCCCAAAGTGCTGGGATTACAGTCATTTGTCATTGCACTGATCTTTTGTAATCTTTTTTTCTTTTTTAATATAGATGAGGTCTCACAATTTTGACCAGGCTGGTCTAAAACTCCTGGCCTCAAGTGATCTTCCTACCCATCTCGGCCTCCCAGGTGTTGGGATTACAGGCATGTAATCCAGCTAATTACATGCCCAACAGAGATGGGGTCTCACGTGTTGTCCAAGCAAGTCCCAAACACCTGGGCTCAAGTGATCCTCCTGCTGCAGCCTCCAAGTAGCTGGTGTGTGCCACCACACCTGGCTAATTTTTAAAGTTTTTCTATAGGGAGGGCCTTGCTATGTTGCCCAGGGTGGTCTCGAACTCCTGGCTCACTCAATCCCTTTGTTAGATCTTAAAAGTGCAAGATGTTTGCTACAGCATTGTTGTACCAGCAAAGACTGGAAAACATGCACATATTCATCAACAGGGGATGCTGAAATGATTTATGGGGCGTGTCCTAGAGGAGGAACTATAAGATATAAGGCCTACTGTGGTCAGGCATAGTGGCTCAGGCCTGTAATCCTAGCACTTTGGGAGGCTGAGGTGGTCGGATCACTTGAGGTCAGGAGTTCAAGACCAGCCTGGCCAACACGGTGAAGCCCTGTCTCTAATAAAACACAAACATTAGCTGGGCATGGTGGTGGGCACCTGTAATCCCAGCTACTCAGGAGGCTGAGGCAGGAGAATTGCTTGAACTCTGGAGGTGGAGGCTGCAGTGAGCAGAGATCACGCCACTGTACTGCAGTCTGGGCAAGAGCGAGACTTGGTCTTGTAAAGGAAGACTTCCCGTGTGTCTCTGGAATTACCTCTGAATTACACTGCGTTGCTGAAAAAAGCAAGGTACAGAAACAAGAATAATAGAAACGTGATATTAAAATATTAATATGTATAATTGGTACAGGAAAGCAAAGTACAGAAGCGAGAATCATAATTAGCCAACATTTTATTGAGTGCTACACACTGCTTGCTCTAAGGGCTTTACAGGGATGAGATTGCTGACTTCTCAAGTCCTTGAGGTAGATGCTGTTACCATCCCATTGTACAGACGAGCAAACTGAGGCACAGGAAGGTGAAATCACTTGCCCAGAGCCACTTAGCTTGGGAGTGACAGAGTTCAGATTTATACCCAGGAACTCTGCCTCTATAGTCTGTAATCATAACCACCTCACCATATTAGGTGCCACTTGTATATAGAGAGAAATAAATGACACACACATGCATGTGGTTGATACATACATGGAATGTGCCTGGAAGGAGACCCAAGACATCCATCCATGGTCTGAGGGTAAGAGAAAGACTTACGTTCCACCATGTACCCTTTTATACCTGTTGAATTTTTTAGCACACACTTTTTTTCTTCTCCTGAGACAGGGTCTTGCTCTGTAGCCTAGGCTGGAGTACAATGGTGTGATCATGGCTCACTGCAGCCTCACCCTCCTAGGCTCAAGTAATCCTCCTGCCTCAGCCTCCCGAGTAACTGAGACTACAGGTGTGCGCCACCACACCCAGCTCATTTTTAACATTTTTTGTAGAAGGGTCTTGATATGTTAACATGTCCAGGCTGGTCTCCAACTGCTGGGTTCAAGCAATCCTCCTGCCTCAGCCTCCCAAAGTGTTGGGATTACAGGCATGAACCACTGCTCCTGGCCTTTTTAATGTCTTGAACTGAAAAAGACTTTTTTCCCTAGAGGTATTTGAAAGGAGAAACAGTGAGAAATGAATGCCAGATCCCACAGGCACCTAGCTGCCCCGAGCTGGCTTTAGCTCAAAGTCAAAAAGGAGCCAAGGAGGTTGGGAGGCTGAGAAAGGGCCAGACAACAGATATTTCTGAGCTCCCACAGGAAAAGGTGCCCAACCAAAACCTTGTTCGAATCCCGGTGTTGCACTTTCTGTGTGACCTTGGGCGAGTATTTAATGTCTCTGGACCTCCTTTCCTCATCTGCAAAATGTAGAGAATGTATCAAGGACTTAGAATCGTGCCTGGCACACAGTATATCCAATGTAAGTATTTTTTCTTTTTCTTTTTCGTTTTTTGAGACAGAGTCTCGCTCTGTCACCCAGGCTGGAGTACAGTGGTGCAATCACAGCTCACTGCAGCCTCAACCTCCTGGGCTCAAGTGATTCTCCCACTTCAGCCTCCTGAGTAGCTGGGACCAAAGGTGCACACCATCATGCCCAGCTAATTTTTGTATTTTACATTGCTTAGGCTGGTCTCGAACTCCTGGGCTCAAGCAATCCTCCTGCCTTATTTATTTTGAGACAGAGTATCTGACTCGCCCAGGCTGGAGTATAGTAGCGTGATCTTGGCTCACTGCAGCCTCCATCTCCCAGGTTCAAGCAATTCTCTGCCTCAGCCTCCCAAGTAGCTGGGACTACAGGCATATGCCACCACACCTGGCTAATTTTTGTATTTTTAGATGGGGTTTCATCATGTTAGCCAGGCTGGTCTCGAACTCCTGACCTCAGGTGATCTACCCGCCTCGGCCTCCCAAAGTGCTGGGATTATAGGCATGAGTCCGGGCCCGCCCCACTATGACCTCTTGATACCTCCCTGGGTGTCCCTTTCGCCCCTCACACCCACCATATTCTAAACCAACCTCAATGACTCTGCTAAAACCTGCTCTTTCTCCCAAGTCCCCATCACAGGGATAATTGGCCACTCCAAAGGCCCTTTCCTGGCCACGTCCCTCCAGTCTGAGGCCTGTGGCCTGTCCACTTGGCTCCTGAGTGTCCCCACACCCGCCTTCCACGGCTCAGCCCAGGCCCATCGTCTACCTCTTGGTTCCTGCCCCAGCCTCCGCTAGGCACCCAGCCTCAGTCTCCCTCTCTGTGCCACCTCTACGCAGCAACTAGGGGGATCATCCTAAAACCCAAACCTAACCATGACCCTCTCCTATTCTAAACCCTTCCATGGCTCTCTAGGGCCCTCAGGAAAGAGAGACTAGGTTCCCAGGCTTATCATTTAAGGACACTAAGGGGTGCTCATGCCCACCCTTATGCCCTTCTTCCCCCTTTCCCTCCATACTCCGGTCACAGTAAACTGCTTGTTGGAAGCTGGTGGCCAACATGCTTTCCCATCTACAGGCCTTTGCACACAGCTCCTCCCACCTGGCATGCCTCTCCATGCCTTTTCTACTTGTCTACTATTGGGACCTGGCTCAAATTCCCCATCCCTTTTTTCAATTTTTATTTTTGTAGAGATGGGGTCTAGCTATGTTGGCCAGGCTGGTCTCAAACTCCTGGCGTCAAGCGATCTTCCCACGGTGACCCTCCCAAGGTGCTGGGATTACAGGCATTAGGCACTGTACCTGTCCTCTTTCTTTAAGAGACAGGGTCTCGCTCTGTCCCCCAGGCTGGAGTGCAACAGTGCCATCATAGCTCATTGCAGCCTCAAACTCCTGGGCCCAAGTGATCCTTCCACCTCAGCCTCTGGAGTAGCTGGGATCACAGGTGTGTACCACCACACCCAGCTAATTTTTAGATTTCACTGTTGTTGAGATAAGTTCTCACTCTGTTGCCCAGGCTAGTCTCAAACTCCTGGCCTCAAGTGATCCTCCTTCCTCAGCCTTCCAAAGTGCTGGGCATACAGGCATGAGCCGCCACACTCAGCCTGAAATCATCTTTTGAAGTCGTATTATGATGATGACCATTTCACAGAGAAGGAAACAAAAGCAGAGAGGTAGAGTGACTGCCCAAGGACGCAGGCCAGACTCCACTGCCTTGGGATCTGAGCTCAAGCAGGCTGACTCCAGGGTACAACATACAAAAGGGGACAGCTCTTACAATGGTGTCATGGCTAAGGGCAGCACCTCCCACACCATTCAGATCTGGGATGGGGTCCTGTGTCAGTTTCCTGCCTTCCAGGCTGCTGAGGAAGATTCTACCTATACCACCACAGCTCCCTCCATGGGTCCTGCTCCCTGGAGAGGCCTGAGAAAAATGAGTCAGGTCCGACTTCTTCCTGCCTACTTCTCGTATTTCAGGTATTAGTTCAACCGTCACTTCCTCCAGGAAGTCCTCCCTGACCTTCTAGGCACAATTGGGCCTAGTTCCTGTGCTTCGCAGACTTCAGCCTTAACCATTCCGGCTGTGCTTTCATCACCTCATCTCCTCCATTAAATCCTGCCCGTTTGGGGCCATCACTGGGGACAGGTCTGATCACCTCAGTGGACTTCGAGCCCCATGTGAGCAGGTCCCCACCCCCAACTATGTCTCCAGCACTGTCTAGCACAGGGCCAGCACACAGGAGGGGTTCAGGGATGAGTTCATCTATTCTTCCCATTTGTCAGCTGAGGAAGTCAAGGCTCAGAGAGGGGCAGTCACTCGTCCAGGATGTAGTGACAGATCTGGTGCCTGAAATGAGGTCCGAGCCCAGAGCCTAGTAGAATTGGCACTTGATGAGTAACTAATTGAGAGACACAGATGGAACGTGGAAGAGAGTGAGAAACAGACAGCAAGAGGGAAAGACAAACAGCTAGAACGTCAGACAGCCAGAGAGGCACAGTGTAAGGAGGATGAGAGAAAGGACAGAGAGCAAGGTCACGTCGGTGCCCAGCGGAGCCCGGGACACAGGCACAGGGAGTGCCGCCCCCACATCACAGCCGGATGCTGGGAAGCAAAGGAGAGACGGTGGGTGGCAAGGCCTTGGGATCACCTGCATGTGCTCGTGGACATTCCCGTACAGCCAGCTCTGGTCACCAGGGCCCCTCAGTTCCAGGCCAGGCACACCTAAGCCTGGCAGAGCCTGCCCCAGCTACCTGGGGATGGAGGCGTAGTCAGTGTGGGAGCTGGCAGAGAGTTGCTGGTGCGACTCTGGCTGGGGGCCCAGGATGTCCACCTGATCGTCTTCATCCTCACTGAAGTTGGTGGGGCATGGAGTGGGCAGCAGGATGAGCTCCGTGAGGCCGTGGAGGTCAGACACATGGCGGAAGGTCTGCAGCACCAGTACCATGGCCACCAGGCCCAGGAAGAGGTAGACTGCAGAGGTGGAGGAGGGCGGTGGTCACCCTGTGGCTCAGATCTTCCTGTCAGGGCTACGGTTCTACTGGACCCCCCCAGGGTGGAGTTGGATCCCTTTAGGAAGTCCCAGAGTGAGCTGGGTGCGGTGGCTCATGCCTGTAATCCCAGCATTTTGGGGGGCTGAGGTGGGCGGATCACCTGAGGTCGGGAGTTCGAGACCAGCCTGGCCAACATGGAGAAACCCCATCTCTACTAAAAATACGAAATTAGCTGGGCATGGTGGTGCACACCTGTAATCCCAGCTACTTGGAGAATCACTTGAACCCAGGAGGTGGAGGTTGCAGTGAGCCAAGATCACACCATTGCACTCCAGACTGGGCAACAAGAGCAAAACTCCCTCTCAATGAAAAAGGAAGTCCCAGAGTGGGACTATGCGCTTTTAACTCCCCCAGGGACAGGGATAGGTCCTCCTCAAAGCCCCAGCCTCAGCCGCCCAGCTCACCTGTGACCAGCACCTTGTAGAGGGCCCGGTAGGGCTGGCCGGGGGCCTCTCCAGGCACGTAGTCGCCCAGGCCGATGGTGGATAGAGAGATGAAGCAGAAGTAGAAGGCATCCAGGAAACTCCAGGCCTCCTCGAGGTGGGCAAAGATCACCGCAGGCACCAGAAAGCAGATGGTGACCACCACCCCCAGCAGGGCCACCAAGTGCCAGCGTGCTGCCCGCCAGGGGTCCCAGCCCCAGTGCATGCTCAGCCAAGACAGGGGCACGTGAGTCAGCAGCAGCGACAAGCGCTGGGCTGAGGCAGTCAGCAGCAGCATGGTGGTCGGGACGCCCAGGAGCGCGAAGGCGATGGAGAAGGCCTTGCCCGCATCAGTCAGTGGCGTCGTGTACCCATAGCCTAGGAGAGTCAAGGGAGTGAAGGGGAAATCATTTTAGAGGTGGGGTCTCGCTATGTTGCCCAGGCTGGAGTGCAGTGGCTATTCATGGGTGTGATCCCACTACTGATCAGCATGGGAGTTTTGACCTGTTCCGTTTCCGACCTGGGCCGGTTCACCCCTCCTTAGGCAACCTGGTGGTTCCCCGCTCCTGGGAGGTCACCATATTGATGCTGAACTTAGTGCAGACACCCGATGGGCATAGCGCACTACAGCCCAGAACTCCCGGGCTCAAGCGATCCTCCCACCTCAGCCAAGTGTGGCTCTGTGACTAATCTCTGGCCAAGGAGGGATTCATGAAAGAGTCAAGTGGCCGGGCGTGGTGGCTCACCCCTGTAATCTCAGCACTCTGGATGCCAAGGCGAGTGGATCAGGAGGTCAGGAGATCGAGACCATCCTGGCCAACATAGTGAAACCCCACCTCTACTAAAAATATGAAAAAATTAGCTGGGTGTGGTGGTGCGCACCTGTAATCCCAGGTACTCAGGAGGCTGAGGCAGGAGAATCACTTGAACCTGGGAGGTGGAGGTTGCAGTGAGCTGAGATCAGACCACTGTACTCCAGCCTGGTGACAGAGCGAGACTCCATCTTAAAAAAAAAAAGAGTCAAGCAACTTCCAGAAGGGTTCTTAAGGAGAGGGAGGTGCCAGTCTCCCTTCTTCCTTTCCTCCCTCCTCTTGTGGCCACAGCACAGCCATCTGGGACCATTAGGTGATCTTGGGAATGGAAGCTGTACAGAGGAGTTATACTGAGAACCAGCTCGGTCGGGAGACCCCCTGCCCAGGCGGGCTGAAGGTACTAAGAGGCAGACACCCAGATAGGACAACAGGGTGGATCTATCTGGGGACCAACAGCCTGAGAGCCTGCGGGGCTGGCAGCTCTCCAGACCGAAGGCGCCGAGCAGAGATTCATCCACGCATTTATTTGCTCTTTGACAGGTGATTCTTATTAATACACAGGTGTTCTATGTACACACAACTCAGGAATATACCAGGTAGGCAGCTGTTACTTGCCTACCAGTAATTACAAACGAAAAAGTGTCTTCCGCAAGAGAACCATGGGGCCGGGTAAACTTAACGCTCAACAGTGCGGAGCGCCAGGGTTGTGCTGAGGAGCCTAGGCCTCTGACCACGCAGCACCACCTGGACTGACTACCTGGGATGCGAACAAGAAATCAACTCCTGTCTTATTTAAGCAACTATAATTTGAGGTGTATCACTTATGACTACAACCCTCATTAATACAAGCGTTTTTGATGGGGAAACGCCAGCAGCCTGGCAGGTTTGCAAATGACATGAAATCCTTGTAAATAGGGTGGGTGAGGTGACTCATTCCTGTAATCCCAGCACTTTGGGAGGCCGAGGTGGGAGGATTGCTTGGGCTCAGGAGTTCGACGCCAGCCTGAGCAACATAGCAAGACCCCATCTCTATAAAAAAAAACGTTTTTAAGGGAAGTATTTATAAATAGACAAATCATAGAGTTTGAAAAGCATGGGGCCTGTGAGTCTCAACTACTATTCCAAAGAGCTGAGTCCAAAACCGTGTTTTGCCATCTACTCCCTGCATGACTTTGGCCAAATGACTCCTCCCCTCTGAGCCTCAGTTCCCTACTCTGCAAAAATAGGCTGGTAAACAATCCCTTCCTGGCTGGGCAAGGTGGCTCACACCTGTAATCCGAGCACTTTGGGAGGCCAAGGCAGGAGAACCAGTTGCACCTAGGAGGAGTTCAAGACCAGCCTGGGCAACATAGGGAGCCCACTTGCATTTCTACAAAAAATAAAAAATAAAAAAATCAGCCAGGCGCGGTGGCTCACTCCTGTTATCCCAGCACTTTGGGAGGCTGAGGTGGGCAGATCACCTGAGGTTGGGAGTTCGAGACCAGCCTGACCAATATGGTGAAACCCCATCTCTACTAAAAATACAAAATTAGCCAGGCATGGTGGTGCATGCCTGTAATCTCAGCTACTTCGGAGGCTGAGGCAGGAAAATCGCTTGAACCGGAGAGGCAGAGGTTGCAGTGGGCCGGGATTGTGCCACCAGGCACAAGAAAAAACTCTGTCTCTAATAGAGAAATAAATAAGCTGGGTGCAGTGGCATGCACCTGTGGTTCCAACTACTTGGGAGGATGAGGTGGGAGGATCACTTAGGCCCAGGAGGTCGAGACTACCATGGCACTCTAGCCTGGGTGACAGAGCGAGACCCTGTCCCCCCAAAAAAGCAACAAAGAATCCCTTCCTCAAATGTGGTAGTAATCCTACCAGGCTGGGATAGGGCATAGTGCCTGGCAAGAGTGTGGGAAGAGTTACAAGGATTGTAATACTCCCTTCCTCCCTCCGATTCCCAGTTCCGGGTCCTGCTTCCTCCTGCCTCAAGTGCAGCAAGGCTGCCCGGATCAATTCCAGGGCCAAGACTTGGGCCTATGACCGAACGAGGGGCACTGTGGGAAGAGGGCTCTCTGAATCATGTTTCATTGGTTTTCTCCAGATGCATTCAAGGCTCCACCCATAATGAAGACACTCAACATTAACTCAATAAACATCACTTATTACCAGCGCTTCACACGGACAGACTCCCTCCATGACCACACTTCAGCCTGACTCCTGAGTCCCATTCTTAAGTAGGCCTAGTTTTAGCAAGAATCCTACAAGTCACCCGCCCCGATATCTGATCAAATTACTCATCCACTTTTTTTGGGGGGGTTCGGTTCTCATTTTTTTAAGAGAGTCTTGCTCTAATGCCCAGTCTGGACTGCAGTGGCAAGATCTCAGCTCACTGCAACCTCCACCTCCTAGGTCAAGCAATTCTCCTGCCTCAGCCTCACATGTACCTGGGATTACAAGCACGCGCCACCACGCCCAGCTAATTTTTGTATTTTTAGTAGAGACGGGGGTTTTGCCATGTTGGCCAGGATGGTCTCGAACTCCTAACCTCCGGAGATCCACCTGCCTTGGCCTCCCAAAGTGCTGGGATTACAGGCGTGAGCCACCTTACCCAGCCTATTTGTTTTTTGAGACGGAATTTTGCTCTGTTGCACAGGCTGGAGTGCAGTGGCACGATCTCAGCTCACTGCAACCTTTGCCTCCCAGGTTCAAGTGATTCTCCTGCCCCAGCCTCCCAAGTAGCTGGAATTACAGGTGCCTGCCACAATGCTCAGCTGATTTTTGTATTTTTAGTAGAGATGGGGTTTTATCATGTTGGCCAGGCGTGTCTGGAACTCCTAACCTCAGGTGATCCGCCCACCTCGGCCTCCCAAAGTGCTGGGATTGCAGGTGTGAGGCAATGCGCCTGGCCTTCATCCACCTCTCTTGGTATCTAAGTCCTTGGCCAGTCTTTAGCAAGAATCTCCCCACCTAATGTCTCCTCTTACTATTCTTCCATCCACCGACCCCCTTATTCTACTTGTTAGCCATAAATCTCCAGCTGTCTTTGCTACATTCAGTGGAGTTCTGTCTCTCTTCCCGGCCTTGGTCTCTCCTCTACCACAATATCTTTCCATTTTTAACAAGTGTTAGAATATTTTTTTTTCTTTTACAACGCACACAGCAACCTTCTTCTAAGTAGTGCGGTGTGTTGGCTAACACTATCAGACTCTAGAGCCTGATGGCCTTGACTAAATCTCCACTCGATACCATCTTTGCTGTGTGACCTTGGGAAAGTTACCCAACTTCTCTGGGCCTCGGTTTCCATTGCTAAAAACACGGAGCCGATGAAGGCGCCGGCCTCACAAGGCGGTTGTGATGATTGAGGTAAAGCAGGCATTGGTGGGGGGGCACGGGGGCTCATGCCTGTAATCCCAGCGCTTTGGGCGGCTGAGGCGGGCAGATCGCAAGGTCAGGAAATCAAGACCATCCTGGCTAACACAGTGAAACGCTGTCTCTACTGAAAGTACAAAAGTTAGCTGGGTGTGGTGGCACGTGGGCAATCCCAGCCACCAGGGAGGCTGAGGTACGAAATCACTTGAACCAGGAAGGCAGAGGTTGCAGTGAGCCGAGTTCACGCTGCACTTCAGCATGGGCCGCAGAGTGAGACTCCATCTCAAAAAAAAAAAAAAAAAAGCATGCATTGGCAAGTCCTCTGTCAGACTATTGCTATTACAGAGAAGTGGGGAGTGTTATTATCTCCATTCTACTATGGGGGAGGACACTGAGGCCTGGCAATGAGCCACAGCTGAGCACGGATGCTGCCAGGCTGTGTTTGATGTGTGTCTGGCTTCCCTCACCTGCCCTACCAGGGATGACTTCTTAGAAGTCAGGATCTGGGAAGAGGCAGGAAGCGCACACATGACCCAGGGAAGCCCAGAAGCAGGTCGAGCCGCCCTGGCAGCATGGGCAAGCCCCAGCGGAGGTCAGCTAATGAGAAGTCACCCAGCTCTGCAGCCGGGGAGCACAGGCAAAAGCTGCTGGCCAGGAGGGGGAGTTAGGAGTCTGGGCTAGCCCTGCGCCAGCCTCCTCTCCCCAGCAAATCCCCAACAAAGAAAGAGGAAGTCTGGGGGCCGAGAAGGGGCTGCGGTAGCAGCAGAGCCTGGCAACAAAGAGATTTCCCAAATCTGGCTCCCAGGGCTTCCCAGGGGGCTCAGGCTCCCTCCGTGGTGGGTCCTTTTGACACATCCCTAGTTGGGGCTGCCGAATTGGGTGTCCTAGGTCTAGAGGGAACAGATGGTGTCCCCGTTGGGAGGAAAACCCTGCACTGAGGGTGACCCCATACAGGGGAGATGTCAAGATGGGGTGGGGTACCTAGGGATGGGTTTTGTGTCTGGGGTCAGAGTGGCCTACTGGGGAGTATGGGGCCAGGAGAGGGATGGGGGTCTGCAGCAAGGCCTAGATCCAGAGGGGCAGGAGTCCTGGATGGGGGAGCCAGGTCCTCATTGAGGAATCTCTGCCGGGAGAGAGGTCTTTGGTGAGAGCACCCTGAGAGGTCTGGAGATTCAGGGTCCTCGCTGGGGCACCAGGGTCAGGAGGAGGTTGAGATGGTGTCTCTCCAGGGGTTTTCCCAGAAGGACATATCTGGAGGGTCAGGAAACATTGCAAGGGTGGTAGGTGCAGCCTAGAGATAAGCGCAGGGGTCCTGGCATGGTTGAGGTCTGGGTCCAGAGAGGGCAAGGATCTCCCTTGAAGGGCAGAGGGTCCTGGGTCTTTGCTGGAGGTCTCTGAGGACAGTCCTAGGCTTAGAAGGGACTGGACAGACCCAAGTCACCAGGGGGATTAAGACTGAGGAATGGAGTCCCAGTGCAGTGGCTCATGCTCATAATCCCAGCACTTTGGAGGGGGAGGGAAGTGGATCACCTGAGGTCAGGGGTTTGAGACCAGCCTGGCCAACATGGTGAAATGACATCTCTACTAAAAATACAAAATTTGGCCGGGCGCGGTGGCTCACACCTGTAGTCCCAGCACTTTGGGAGGCCGAGGCGGGTGGATCACGAGGTCAAGAGATCGAGACCATCCTGGTCAACAAGGTGAAACCCCGTCTCTACTAAAAATACAAAAATTAGCTGGGCATGGTGGTGCGCGCCGGTAGTCCCAGCTACTTGGGAGGCTGAGGCAGGAGAATTGCTTGAACCCAGGAGGCGGAGGTTGCGGTGAGCTGAGATCGCGCCATTGCACTCCAGTCTGGGTAACAACAGCGAAACTCCGTCTCAAAAAAAAAAAAAAAAAATTAGCCAAGCGTGGTGGCACGTGCCTGTAATCTCAGCTATTCAGGACGCCGAGGCATGAGAAAACTCTTGAACCCGGGAGATGGAGGCTGCAGTGAGCCGAGATCGTGCCACTGCACTCCAGCCTGGGCGACAGAGTGAGCCCTGTCTCAAAAAAAGAAAAAGAAAAAAGACCGAGGACCGGGGTCCCAGCTGCTCTCTGCAAAGGTACTCTCAGGGGAGCTGGCCGTTTCCTGCTTAGGAGGAAGAGCGTGGATCCGGCTCCCCGAGCGGGGCGGATATCATGAGCGTGGGTCCCTGGTCCTCACTGGGGGATTTTCAGAGGATCCGAGGCCCAGAGGGGGTTGGGGTAAGGATATTCGTGAGGACTCCGAGGACTCCAGGCGGCAGGGGTGAAGTGGGGATCCGGGGTCCTCGTCGCCTTGCGAGGCGGCGCTTACGTACCCACGGTGGTGACCAGAGTGCTGGCGAAGAAAAGAGCAGAGGCGAAGTCCCAGGCGGGGTCCGAGGCGTTGGCGGGTCCCGAAGCGTTGGCGAGCACGACGCGCCCCAGCCGTCCGGCCGCCAGCACCCGCTCCACGAAGGCGTCCAGGGCCGGGGCCGCCACACACGGGCTGCGCTGCAGCAGCTGCGCCCGCAGCGTCCCCAGCTCGGCTCGGAGCCGGGCTTCGTGCGGCCCTTCCAGCCGCGCCACCAGCAGCGCGCCCAGCACCAGGTACGCGGTGTACGCGGCCAGGGCGCCCGCCAGGAGCACACCCCTCCGCATGGCGCCCGCCGGGACCCCGCGAGCCCGGGGTGGCCCCGCTGACGTGGCCCCCGCCTCCGGACCGTCTGGCACCTAGTTTAAGTTCCGGGAGTGCTAGCGGCGCGGCCGCAGATGCCTCAAGAGGAAGAGGAAAAAGGGGCGGCGGGGGCGGTGGCGACGGAGGAACGCCCCGCCTCCGGGAAACTGAGGCACGCCCAACCGCCAGGTGTTAGTTCAGAGAGGGTGGAGCCCAGGGCTCCCAGACCCGGGAGACCAACGGGTTGAAAAGGGTGGAGGTAGTCCTCTCTTCCCCATTCCTTCCTTCTCGTCCTCCTGGAAGGCTGGTACCCTATGTTAGAGGAATCTGAACTCTCCTCTCTGCTCGCAGGCTGAGGAGTCGCCCCACATTGCACACAGCAGCTAAGGTTGTGCACTGCATCAGAGCGCGTGGCGGACCAAGGGGGAAACTGCAATCCAATTCCCTCTCCATTCGCCATCTCTGTGCCTTGGAGTGGGAACAGCGGACACCGAAGGGTCTGTCCCCTGTGCCCACGTGGACAGAATGGGGATCCTGAGCTACTCACTAAATCTTTGTTCAATGCTCACTTTGTGTCGACCCCTCGCTGAATGTTCCTGGCGAGGCAGTAATGATGAGACTGTCCTGTGCCATGCATTCATGGGGCTCCAGTCTAACGGGGAGGCTGACACAATACAGTGACCCACACCTGTTGTCCCAGCTACTCGGGAGGCTGAGGTCAGAGGACTGCTTGAGCCCAGGAGTTCGAGGCTGCGGTGAGCTATGCCTAGGAGAAAGCATGAGACCCCCATCTCTAAAAACAAGAAAAAAGCCAGCCCAGAGTGGTCGGACTGTGATGAAGGAAGCACCGTGATCAAGGCTGGAATGAGGGAGCCCTAGAGGGCCCTGGGAGTCCAGAGGAGGGGACCAACCCTGCCTAGGGAGGTCGAGAGCCTCCTGAAGAAGGGGCTAGCTGAGCTGAAGCATGAAGAATGAATGGAAACAAGCCTGGCAGAATCATGAATATCTGCCTTTATATGAGAGGATATTTTTCCTTCTGTGTCTCCTGTAAGTCTCTCCACTTCTGCCTCCATCCGGAACTCACTGCCTTCCTGGCATCCTTCTGGAGGGCAGCCAGAATCCTGACCACATCTGACTGCTGGGGCTTGGGGCACAGCTCAGACATGCCCCAGCTGGTTCTATTAAAAAGTTGGCAGATCACGGAGAAGAGCCCAACTTGGGGCTGGCAATCCAGAAGTAGAGACACTTGATGATAAAACCAGTAACACAGCAGGTGCCCGTGATGGAACACTTACATTCTGCCAGGCTCTGTGGACACCTGAAAACTTGCACTGAATTCTCAATCCCCCCCATATAATTCCCACTCAACAGATGAAAGTTTAGGCTTAAAAATGAAGTAGTTGGGCCGGGCACGGTGGCTCACACCTGTAGTCCCAGCACTTTGGGAGGCCAAGGTGGGTGGATCACGAAGTCAAGAGATCAAGACCATCCTGGTTAACAAGGTGAAACCCTGTCTCTACTAAAAATACAAAAATTAGCTGGGCATGGTGGGGCGTGCCTGTAGTCCCAGCTACTCGGGAAGCTGAGGCAGAAGAATTGCTTGAACCCAGGAGGCGGAGGTTGCGGTGAGCCGAGATCGTGCCATTGCACTCCAGTCTGGGTAACAACAGCGAAACTCCGTCTCAAAAAAAAAAAAAAATGAAGTAGTTGTGGCCAGATGCGGTGGCTCATGCCTGTAATCCCAGCACTTTGGGAGGCCGAGGCAGGCAGATTATGAGGTCAAAAGTTTGAGACCATCCTGGCCAACATGGTGAAACCCATCTCTACTAAGAATACAAAAATTAGCTGGGGTGGTGGCATGCCTGTAGTCCAGCTACTTGGGGTGCTGAGGCAGGACAACTGCTTGAACATGGGAGGCAGAGGCTGCAGTGAGCCGAGATCACATCACTCTACTCCAGCCTGGCGACAGAGCGAGACTCCTCAAAAAAAAAAAAAAAAATGAAGTAGTCGTTTAAGACCAGTTTGAGCAACATTGCAAAACCCTGTCTCTAGAAAAAAATACAAAAATTAGCTAAGTGTGGTGGCGTGCGCCTGTAGTCCCAGCTTCTCGGGAAGCTGAGGTGGGATGATTGCTTGAGCCCAGGAATTAGAGGCTGCAATGAGCTATGATCCCACAACTGTACTCTGGCATGGGTGACAGAGACCCTGCCCCCCCCAAATAAAAAGTAGTAGTCACACAGCTGGTAAAGGATGAACATGAGGCCAGCAGGAAGCCCAAGAACTTACTTTTTTTTTTGAGACAGAGTCTCTCTTTCTCACCCAGGCTGGAGTCCAATGGCACAGCTAACTGCGACATCTGCCTCCTGGGTTCAAGTGATTCTCCTGCCTCAGCCTCCTGAGGAGCTGGAATTACAGACGCCTGCCACAACACCCAGCTAATTTTTGTATTTTAAGTAGAGACAGCGTTTCACCATGTTAGGCTGGTCTAGAACTCCTGACCTCAGATGATCTGCCCACTGTGGCCTCCCAAAGTGCTGGGATTACAGGCGTGAGCTGCTGCACCTGGCAGTACTTGCTTTATTAATATAAATAAATAAATAATAAGGTTGGGTGCAGTGGCTCACGCCTGTAATCTCAGCACTTTGGGAGGCTGAGGCAGGTGGATCACTAAGCCCAGAAGTTCAAGGTCAGCCTGTGGAACATGGCAAGACCCTATCTCTAAAAAAAAAAAAAAAAAAACAAAAATTAGCCAGGTGTGGTGGCACGTGCTTGTAGTCCCAGCTACTCCAGAGGCTGAGGTGGGAGGATCACTTGAGCCTGGGAAATCAAGGCTGCAGCGAGCCATGATCCTGCCACTGCACTCCAGCCTGGGTGACAGAGCAAGACCCTGTCTCAAAAATTAAGAAATAATAGGACTAGGCATGGTGGCTCATGCCTGTAATTCCAACACTTTGGGGGGCAGGTGGATCAACCGAGGTTAGGAGTTCAGGACCAGTCTGGCCAACATGGAGAAACCCCCATCTCTACTAAAAATACAAAAATTAGCTGGGCATGATGTCATGTGCCTGTAATTCCACCTACTTGTGAGGCTGAGGCAGGAGAATCGCTTGAACCTGGAGGGCAGAGGTTGCAGTGAGCTCAGTTCATGCTGCTGCACTCCAGCCTGGGTGACAGAGCATGACTTCATCACCCCCTCCCCCTGAAAAAAGGAATAAGAAAAATTTTAAAAAGCCGGGTGCAATGGCTCATGCCTGTAATCCCAGCACTTTGGGAGGCTGAGACGGGCAGATCACAAGGTCAAGAGATCAAGACCATCCTGGCCAACATGGTGAAACCCCATCTCTACTAAAAATACAAACATTAGCTGGGCGTGGTGGTGCACACCTAAAGTCCCAGCTACTCAGGAGGCTGAGGCAGGAGGATCTCTTGAACCTTGGAGGCGGAGGTTGCAGTGAGCCAAGATCACTCCACTGCACTCCAGCCTGATGACAGAGACAGACTCTGTCTAAAAAAAAAAAAAAAAAAAAGGAAAAGAAAAAGAAAAAATATATTCACAGAGGAGATGTATCTAGAGCAACTACAGCAAGAGAGGGCTGAGGATGAGGAGAAAATGGTGTTGGAGCCCAGGAGACAGAGGCTAAATCAGAGGTGAAGAAGAATGAGGGCATTTCACTCACAGAAAAGAACCACAACAGAGACAGGACTCATCACTGAGAATCCAGGAGTAGTCCTTAAAGTCCCCAAAAAGAAAATGTCTCAGAGGAGGAAGGGGAAGCCACAGCGATAGGGTCACTTGCTGACATCCTTCCGGATGTGCTATCGCTGCGCAGAAGTCACTTCCACCACTGTGTTTTCCTGAGATAAGTCGGGGAGGCTGAGAGGGAGAGAAAGGGGAAGAATGAGGGGCAGAAAGAGGAGAGATGAAGGGCGCTTGGTCTGCAGCGCTCTTCACGTGCAGGTGCGCCTGTGTGCTGTGAGCTGCTGGGGGTGTAGAATGCCTTTGGTGGACAGAGGGAAACAGTCTGCAATGTAAGAACATTTTTATGAAGTTCTGGGAAACTGCCTTAAGATCTCTTCCAAGAGAGACACCTGGTTCTTCTCACCTAACTTGTTGGGTTTCCTTTTCTCTAAATATTCACTTTAAGTCTGGGCACTGTGGCTCATGTCTGTAATCCTAACACTTTAGGAGGCTGAAGCCAGACGATGGCTTGAGCCCAGCAATTCGAGACCTGCCTGGGCAACATAGCAAGATCCTGTTTTGACAAAAAAAAAAAAAATTAAAAATTAGCTGAGCATGGTGGTGCATGCCTGTGGTCCCAGCTACTGGGGAGGCAGGAGGATCACTTAAGCCCAGGGGGTCCAAGGTAGCCTGGGAAACAGAGCAAGACCCTGTCTCAAAACAAATAAATGTGCACTTTAATACGTAAGGACTGTCATAAAATTGTAAGCCCCCACAACTCCAATTAGCCCCTCAGGAGCACAAATGTTTCTCTTCCCTTGCTCCACAGCCTTCTCTGGCTCTCTAGTGCTCTCAGCAACCCAAATTTAACACCTGTCTGTAGAGAACTCCATTTTCCATCAAACTTTTTGCTCAATATTTACATTTTAAAAAATGTTTTGTAGTGGCCCGGCATGGTGGTTCATGCCTGTAATCCCAGCACTTTGGGAGGCCGAGGCAGGCGGAACACCTGAGGTCGGGAGTTCGAGACTAGCCTGACCAACATGGAGAAACCCTGTCTTTATAAAAAAAGAAAGAAAGAAAATTAAAAAAATGTTTTGTAGTGATGGAGATCTTGCTATGGTGCCCAGGCTGGTCTCAAACTCCTAGGCTCAAGTGATCCTCGGCCTTCCAAAGTGCTGGGATTACAGGCGTAAGCCACCATGCCTGGCTAAATTAAAAAAAATTAGGTGCCGGGCACAGTGGCTCAGGCCTGTAATTCCAGCATTTTGGGATGCCGAGGCAGGCAGATCACCTGAGGTCGGGAGTTCAAGACCAGCCTGGCCAACATGGAGAAACCCCCGTCTCTGGAAAAAAAAAAAGAGAGACAGAGAGAGATAAAGACCATCTGGCCCGGCGCCGTGGCTCATGCCTGTAATCCTAGCACTTTGGGAGGCCGAGGTGGGTGGATCACCTGAGGTCAAGAGTTCAAGACCAGCCTGGCCATCATGGTGAAACACCATCTTTAAAAAAAAAAAAAAAAAAAAAAGACCATCCTGGCCAAGAAGGTGAAACCCTATCTTTACCAAAAATACAAAACTTAGCTGGGCATGGTGGCGCGCACCTGTAGTTCCAGCTACTTGGGAGGCTGAGAGAGGAGACTCGCTTGAACCCGGGAGGCGGAGGTTGCAATGAGCTGAGATCGCGCCACTGCACTCCAGCCGGGCAACAGAGCGAGACTCCGTCTCAAAAAAAAAAAAAAAAATTGTAGGGATGGGGCAAGGAGAGCTCAGTATGCCCAGGCTGGTCTCGAACCCCTGGGCTCAAGCAATCCTCCCGCCTCGGCCTCCCAAAGTGTTGGGATTACGGGCGTGAGCCCCCGCACCGGGTAGACACTAATTTTCTAACGTGGCAGACACCGCCTCCTCCTGGGATTCTTCCCGGCCCCGACTTCCTGCCACTCAGGCCCCGACTCGCTTTACGACACGAGCCCAATCTCCGCCTCTTACGTAAGGCACCGCCCACTCGCCTAGGCCTCCGTGGGAGGCGTGGCCTTCCCGCAATCCTGACACCCATTGGCTGTCGATTCGCCGGCGGGGCACGGGTACGGGAGCCGGGCGGGCACGTTCCGAACCGTGGCTGAGGCGGCGGCGGCTAAGGATGCACCCGGCAGGGTTGGCGGCGGCGGCGGCGGGGACGCCCCGGCTGCGTAAGTGGCGTACGTGGCCGGCGGAGGAGATCAGGAGGGCCGGCGGGCGGGGGCGTGGCGGGACGGCCGCGGCGGTTGGCTAGGGCACTGCAGGTCGGAG